CTTGCTCAGCTGGAAAGTACGTGGGGGTGCAGAAGTGCTTCAGAGACACCCCTGAGACGTCAGGCCCATAGCCCCAGTGCGTTGGTGCCTGGGTAGTGCCAGCATCATCCACGCTGGTCCCTCCCTACACCTCTTCTCAGGTCTGAGGGCATTTAGACTTGCCCAAAAATCCTTCTCACCACGCTCCGTGTCCTCTCACCAACCTTACGTGAAGCCCACTGCTGTCTGTTCATGCCGATGAGCCTGTTCCACAGGGAGAGCTCTGCCTTGGAGGATCCTGCACCCTGATCTGCTGTTTAAGACAAGCCCAGAGAAAGCAGTGACTCTGCAGAGCTGCCACCTCCCTTCCATGCTGCCCCTGGCACAGCAATCAAACATTTCAAAGGGGACACTGTGCCAGGTCCGGATCCTCCAGTACCAGGAAAACAAACGGACCTGCTGCCAGGCATGCCTGGCACTGGATTCAGTGGAAAACAGGCTGAGGTGTGCCTTCTCATCCTGTCCCATCCCATCCCCATCCCATCCCATCCCCGGGTGATTTTCAGTGCTCTCTGCTCTAGCCCTCGGGTACTCCCCTGGTGGTCTGGCTCCCTGGGTGTATCCCCCTGGTGGGCAGCCTCCAACACATGGTTTTGATGCCAGCATTTAGCCAGCAGACAGCCCTCAGCACTAGCCCCTGGGCTTGTACCCCAAAAAGCAGCATACAAACCCGGAGAAGGGTTACCGGTGCCTAGGGCCAGCCAGCTGCCCCAGGCAGCCCTCACTCCCTCAGGTTTAGGGGGAAGGAGGAGGCTTCTTGCCCTCAAACCCACCCTCTCACCTTTCAGGAGCTGCCCTTTGTCCCATTCAGCATCAAAGCCCGCAGAAAACTTCAGCTCGGAGCTTGCAGAGCCCGTAACATCTTCAGCAGCAGCACTCGGACCATGGAGGAGCCCATCCCTGGGGGGAAAAGCAGAATTGGGCATGACTGGACAGAGGCAGGAGCAGCATGGCCATTTCAGAGCCCCTAGCAGCACAGTTGGACCCGGCTGCACCCCGCCAGCAGCCAGGAGAGGCCCAGCAGTGCAGAGACTCCTGATGGGTGCCACCGTCTGTAGGGAGCAACCAGGGAATGGAGCCTGCCTGGGGGTACAGGACACCCTGAAACACCACACAGGTTCGGGAAGCCAGCTGGGCTCATTTCAGTGTTCTCAGGAACAAATAATAATAATAAAAGGCTACTGTCTGTTTATAATATCCAACCGTGCAGCTTTCTGCAAAGCTTCGCCTGCTTGGGATCTGACGAGGCTGATGCAGCCAAGGGAGCTTCACTGTATCCCTTCGCACATCTGTATCCACAAAGACACGGCACTGAAGCAACTGTGGCCCCATGCCACCCCCCCACCCATGCTTACATCTTCAGAGCTTTGTCCCCAAAAGCTTCTGCCGAGGCCACCCCGCTGGCTGCGTCCTGCTGGGCCCCGCTGCCGGCAGGAGCCTCCTGCCCGTCCCTGGCCACCTCCAGCTCCGTGTCGCTGGTGCCGGCGCTCAGGCAGCTCCTGCTGCTCCCCAGGGAGCCCTCCAGGCTGAGCTCCTGCAGCTCCCCCAGCAGCAGCTCCGTGCCCTCCCTCTCCACATCCCCCAGGGGCTCCCAGTATGGGCCCCCAGGCTCCCTGTGGGCAGGTGAGACCCGCTCTCCCTGCGAGCCACCGGGGTCCCTGGTGGTGCCTGGCTCTTGGTGCTCCGCTCTGGGCCCCTGTGTCCCCAGAGCGCTTCGGTGGTAGCCAAAGAGCCCCCTGAGGAGCTGGAGCAGGGAGGGACGGCTGGGCACGGCCTGCGGGGCATCCATGGGTGCCGGTGTCAGTAGCGGGGCCGGCCGGTGGAACAACGGCTGGGACTGGGATTTGAATCCAACGGCCCCAAACGGTCCTGGAACACGGAGCTGGGCTCTGAAATTAGCTGGGGGGAAGGATGGCACTGAGGGGGGCAACACGTGCACAGCCCGGGGCTGGGGGAGCAGAGGGACCCCCAAAAATGAAGCCTCTCTTCTACCCACAGCAGCTCACTCCCGCTGCATGCCCACCTCTGCCACAGCTTGGCGCAGCCCGGGGGTTTTGCACCGTTAAGGGAGGTGGGAAGGGGGCTCACATAAAAGGCTCAGGCACCATCCAGCAGTGCAAAAACATGGCCAACAGGAGGCTAAAATACCACTTCTTCAGGCAGCAGATGAGCAAATGACTTTGCAAATGACTTTTAAAAGGAGTTTGCCACCGCACTGCAATATGTTCACGACAACGATGGCAGCAGCAAACCCAACAAACTATTTTTCCCTTGGGCTCTCAGGCACAGCTTCAGAGTTTTCCTAGGGCTGGGATCACAGGCAGGGGCATGATGTCTCTGCAAAGTTCCTGTACTTGGCAGAGCCGTGCTGTAGCTGCAATGCCACCGGCACAAAGCTTTCTCCACGGGTGTAGCGAGGCCCTCGGGGCAGCTCGCTGGGTGGAGTTTGGTTTTGCTTCTGTGCTCAAGAGTTTCTCCTGGCTGGCTTTGCCAGCATCTGCTCACCCGTGGATCTGCTACCCGTCAGCTAGCCCACAAGCACAGGCTGCCAGAAGGGTTTCCCCCCTGCTGAACTCATCTAAAACTGCCATGTCATCATGATCAGTTGAAACCGAGATTCTCCCCCCACCCCAGCTGCGTCCTCCTGTTTCCTTTCCTCTGCCATCGCCCGGCTCAGGCAGCCAGGCAGGGCAGGGTTCCCACAAAGCACAGTTTGCAGCCCTCCTCGCTGCAAAATTCGCCCCATCTCATCAGCCCCTTGCTCTCCGTGGGGCAAGAGGAGGGCCGGGAAGGCACAGCTCGCTGCAGCCCCCTTACCAGCAGCAGCCCAGGTTTAGGCTGCATCAGCCAGTCGGTGAAATCACTCCCTAAAAACACCACAAGTCCTCAAACCAGAGGCTCCTTGTGAGGCTATTCTGCACCTTTGTGCTTACCCCAGCAAGAGGGGCTGTAGGAAGCCAGGAAATTTTCACATCTGTATCTGCAGCCACAAAGCCAGCTTGGAACTTCTTCCCCAGTGCTTCTACATCTTAAAAGCATGGCAATACGAAGCAGGAGTTTAGACCACGTGTCAAATGATCCCCTAAATTCTTACCACCACCATTTCCCAATGCCCATATCAGCCGTTCCCATAGCAGAGCTAGTGCTTTCACACCCGATTTCCCTGTTGTCCCCAATGTTTCTCCCCTCTTTAACACTCTCCAGCAGCCGTTTGCAGACATCGCAGCACCTGCAGCCCAAGTGCCTGCTCCCCACTGAGAGCTCAGCCCCCACAGCCCCTTTGCTGTGGACACAGACGATTTGTCCCAGCCTTCTGCACAGCTTATTTCTCAGTTTTCCCTGCTCAGCACAATTAAATTTATTCAGTTTGGAAGATCACGGCTACCTGATGCTCGCCAAGTACCACTTTCCCAGCTGGTTTCAACAGCCATGCCACAGAGGCATCATGCAATGAACTTGAGGTGGAAGAAAAATGGTTTGCCACGAGGAAGAAGAATTTTAGATGAGATCCCCTTTTGCAAAAGCTCTCACCGCACTGCCTTCTAGTGAGGTAATACAAATGAGGGACTGGCAAATCTGAAACGGTGGTGAACTGAGGAACAACCCAGGTTGAGGCAGTGTTGCAGATGAGACAAGTGCAGGGTTCCACCTGTACAGGATTCATCCCCTGCAGTGCCTGTGCTGGTGTATAGGCTGAAACTAGGCACAGACAATGCCAGCTGTGCACAAGAAAAGCCATCACAGGACGAAGGTTGATGGTGAGGCCTCGAGACCCCCAGGTCCGGGTGTTTCTCTGGCAGGATGGCAGACCCCTGCCTGCCAGGCTGATGGGGACAGGCCCCGTTAGCTGCTGCCTCACCTTCCTCTGCTCCATGGTTATGGTCTTATACCCCAAAAAGCCATTTCTGAGCAGGCACAGCTCTCCTGGCCCTTGGTCCCCTAGGTCACCACAGGCATTCATCGCTTCCCCCAGCTCTTCGCTGGTGCCCAGGGGGTGAGGGCAGCTCTGGAGCCAGGGCTGTGCCCCCTGCATCTGGGGGCTGCTTCCCCAGTGAAGCTCAAGCAGGGATTCATCAAATCCTTTCATTCTGCTCCCCTGGGCAAAGAACATCCCACAGGGCACAAGCAGTGCTCCTACCATGGGGCAGACAAGTAATTGGATAATTAGCAATCAGGCATTCAAACTGGCCCCAAACCCCTGCTTATCTGGCAGCTCACAGCCCCAGCAGTGAAGCCCTTGGCAGCCTCCTGGGGGAAGGGAAGAAGCTGGGGCAGCTTTGGGGCTGAGACAAATAGCCACCCCCTGCAGAGCTATCTTGCTCTCTAGGGTGAATATCGCCCTTTCCTCCAGCTGCCCTGTGTTGTTTGTGGTTTTTTTTTTGTTTTTTTTTTTGTTTTTTTTTTTTCTGATCTCAGTGGATTTCAGTTTTCCCAGGTGCGAGGCACCTCCACCACCACTGACCCTTTTGGCCTGGTGGTCCAAAAAAGAAGCTTCTTCCTGGAAACCTGAAATGGCCTGAGGGCTTTAAGGCAGCTCCTGCTCCTACCTGCCAGGAGAACCCAACAGAGAGCGAGCCAGCAGCCTTCCCAAAGCCAAAAATAAAACACACTGGAGACCACAGGGGATGCAGACACCCAGGGAATCACAGCAAACGGTGCCGAGGTGCATCGCACCGCCCCTGCACCGCTGGGCTCAGCACCCAGAGAACCTCCCCGGGTATCCCGCAGCCGGAGGGTGCCCCCAGCCGGGGGGGTTCCCCCAAATTTCCCCAGACCCCCTAGGAGCATCCCCTGGGTGCACGGCGCTGCTCCCAGCGCTGCCGCAGCCCCTTTCCCACGCTCCGGCCGGGGAGGGCGCCTCTAGAGGGAGCTGAGCTGAGCCCTGCCCGGCTCCGCTTCTGCATCTATGGTCTGGGGTTGGGTTTCTAATTTTTTTTTTTTTTTTTCGGTCTCTCTTCTTCTTTTCCCTCCTCCTCCCCGGCCCTGCTCGCTTCCTTCCCCCGCGCCGCGCCGCTGCGCTCCGGGGAGGAGGCAGGAAGGGAGCGGCGGGGATGGGGCAGCTCCCCGGAGGGATGCGTTAGGGCTCCCCGGGACCCCCCCCGGCCCCCCTGGACCCCGCCGGGAGCCGGTGAGTAGCGGGGACCCCCCCAGCCTCCGCCTGGATGCTCCTTCCAACTCCCCCCCCTCCCCCCCTGGGCCGGGGCTGCTGAGCGCTGCCGGGGGTTGAGGGGGGTTGAAATGCACCGGGGGGACCCTAGGGAGGTGGGAGGGGGTTGGGAGGGGGGGGGGGACAGAGCCCCAGGGCCTCATCCTGCACTTTTCTGGTGCGGGAGATTTGAACTACACAGCGGAATGCAGCGGGCAGTGGTCTCCGGGTCAGGGCTGAAAGGTCTCGCTCCGTGCCGAGTGTTGCCCCAAAGAGCAAACATTGCCTCTTTTGGCGATGTTTGCTCCATTTTTTTTTTGCGCTTTTCCCCCTCCTCTCTCTTTTTTTTTTTTCTTTTTTTTTTTTTCTCCTCCCCTGTTTCTTCACTCGTGAGGCCACAGCAGTGACAGCCCTCCCGGCACCCCCATGCTGAGCCTAGGGTGCTGGGAGGCGTGGGGCAGAGGGGTTTTTCAGGGCCATCGATGACAAGAGCCGTGCCATGCCAGGCTGGGGACCGTGGTGACATCAGGCCAGCTCCATTCCAAGCCGTGACCTCAGCCCCGGGCATCACACGTGTGGCCCCATGGGCTCAGCTGCATGGTTTCCTGCTCAGCACCACCAGGACACGGGGGGGTGGCTGCAAGGTCCCCATCCCCAACAGCTGCTGCTGTGAGGCTCAAGGGCTGGGTGGGCACAGGAAAGCACAAAACTGGGCGAACTTCCCCCATTTGCTCTCTCCGGGGGGGGAGGGGGCCCTGCACTGAACGAGCAGGGGTTGGGGTCCTCTGGTCCTGCTGCCGCTTGCTTTTTGGTGGGGTCGCTGCATGGGCTGGGGGCCAGGCATGTGAAATGCTTCTCCCAGGGGACACTCCATGCATTTCCTGGAACGAGATTTTCATAATGTGTCGGGAGGCTGGGGCTGCTCCCCCCCTGTTCCTGCGGGTCCCCTGCCCTCCTGCACCCCACAAATCGGCCTCCCTTGCTGGGCTGGCCCCAGCATTTCCCTGCTGCCCGGGCACTGTCCTTTGGTAGAAAAGCTGGGAGAAGTTGAGCGATGGGCACGTCCTGGGGGTGCTCAGGAAGCGTGCCAGAGACCTTAGAGCAGAGTGAGGGAGGGCGAACCCAGGAACAGTTGAGGCAAAGGTCTTTTTACGAGGAAAGCCTGCAGGAAGGCCGATCCTTTGGCACGTGCTCATTAATAAAGATAAGGCTCCTGTGCCATGTCAGAGGTGTTGCTAAATCCACAGCTCAGGTGCTATCTGCTCCTTTTAACCCTTTGTGGCCTCCTACAAGAGCAAAAAGTCAGGGTGGAGGTGAATTGTCCCCTGGTTAAACACCGCTCCTAGTGCCCTGCAGCCTCCCCGTGCCTTTTCCTGAGCCCTGTGTCCCAAGCCCTGGAGGACCTTCATTTTCTGCTGCCTTGGGCTGTCTTTAAGCATCTGGGTGTCGTAATCCTCCTTCACACCCTCCCTGCTCTCTCCTGGCACAGCATTCTCATAACCAAAGGGAATGGGGCAAACCAAAGGGCAACAACCAGGAAGCAGGAGGAACGAGGGCTCTGGGTACCGGAGGGGCTGGGCTGAGGCACTGGCCCCAGCAGAGGCGGGCAGCCAGCTAGCTCAGAAATTCATTTAGTTTGCAGGAGTGGGACTTTTGGGTCCCATCTGGCAGTGGGTTGTAGCCCCTCGGCACACGCAGGGGACAGGGATGTGGCCACTGGTCCCAGATGTGCGCAGGAGGGCTGCGGTACCCCGCAGTGTGAGAGAAGAAAGCGCTGCAAGAAACTATATTAAGAGGGAAACTGAAAATGAAAGTTCCTCTATGGCCCCAGTCGCAGCTTGCAACACTCACTTCCAAAGGCTTTGGCAGACAACAAGTGCGGAGCAACACATGAGTCAGCTGCGGCACAGGCTCCGGAGTTGGGTGTTCCCCCAGACATCCTTCAGATGGAGCAGTCGGAGCCACATCAGAAATTCATGGTTCTTGGTGGCTGAGGTTTGGGCAGAGGCCACGTGAATACGGCCGGCTGCATCAACAGCCCGTGCTGTAAAAGCTCCAGAGGCGATTAAACTCCGGCTGGGCGCATCCACGACCAGCACTGTGCTCAGCGCAGCCTTGGGCTGCAGAACTGCGAGGCACGGAAGAAATTCCTCCTGCTTTGGTTACTCACACACGGACAGAGAACTGCTCCCAGTCTGCTCTTGCTTCCCTTTGAAGCCTTCATATGGGAGGTGGGCTGCGACTTCAGCCTCACTGAGCGTGCGTTGGCTGCTCCAGGCGCTCGCTGAGCTGCCCGCGCCGTGTCCGTCCCTCCTCTGCTCCAAAGCCTGGCCTCCCTGCTGCCCCCGGCCTCCACCTCTGGTCCTCAGCATGTTTTCTGCTTTTCCTTGGATGGCGATGTACGAGGTCGGGGAGGAAAAGGGAAATCCTGTCCTCGGATGCGTGTAGGAAAAAACAGCACCTCCATCTGTGTGTCACCAGGGCTCAGAGTCCCTGGCTGCAGATATGCAAATACGTGAGGGCTTTCGAAGCCAGGCTGATAAACTTTGCATTTCCAGCCCCTCATCCCACCCTGGCTGGATACCTCACTTCACGATCTGTTTTATGATCTCTGTTTTTCTCTTCTGAATAATCAATGTGAGGCTGTAAGCTTGGCCCAGGTGTTGCACTTCTAAGCTTGACGTAGGTGGTTATTTATCTGCAACCAGCACATTTTTTTTCATTATTTATTTTTGGCCAGAATATGATTTAAACTTTTGTGTGTCAGTGTGTCCTCACAAATTTAAAGCTGGTGCAAATCAGAAAAACCCACCAGCACAGCCCTATTAGAAGGCCTGGCTTGGGAACATGTACCGGCATGCTGAACAAAAGGCAAGCCGCCGCCGTGATCTAACCCCGACCTGAGCAGGCGGCCTCACTTCCTTCTCTGCACAAACCAGAGGTGATGTCAGTGTGATGAGCAGGGGGTAAAAGCAGCTGCTGAGAAATTTGCAGAGCCCTAAAGACAGGTATGGTTTTAGGTTGCCTCTGAAGCTCGGGAGCAGCTGGAGATGGACACTTGGTTTAATTTTCTTATTCAGAGAGGAGCTGGGAAGACATGAGGAATGGGAAGTTAGGGAATCTGGGTATAGGAAAAGAGAGACTGGCAGAAATTGTGGAAAACGAGCCAGAGGTGCTTGCAGAGGGGAATTGGCATTGTTGCTGGGGCTGTGGTCACAACTTGGTTTGCTCTTGAGCAGTCATGGCCATGGCTCAGGCTTGCTGCAGTGGGAATGCAGTGGCTCAGCACCCGGCAGCCCTGCAGCCCTTGGTGCTGGGGTTTTGCTTTTCTTCCCAGTGTGAAGCTGCTGCAGGTGATGCCGTTGTTTGGGCTGGAGAAGCACTTTCTGGGTCATGGGACAGCCAGTAGGTTTCCAGCAAGGGTGGGGAAGCGGGGTAGGGCACTGGGTGACTTTCCCATTGTCGCATATTACTGTCTGCAAACATCATGATGGAAAGAGAGGAGAAATCTAGCCAAAGGACTCGGTGTGACCGTGAGGGAGCAAGTGCAGGGAAGGGAGGAGCCAGGCTGCTCGTGGAGATAAAAGCAAGCCGTGCTTCTCTGAGCCCTTGACTCAGCCAAAGGGGCTCCGTGATGCTGACCTGAGAGGTGTGGGAAGGAGCAAGAGGTCTCCAGTGTGACTGCTGATGGGCCATACCCTGGCTCACGTCCTGTCTGTCCCCTCTCCAGGTAAAGCTGATCCTCCCCAGCATCTCTGCGATGGCCTCAGGGAACGACGGAGACCCACCGAGGGCCCACGGACGCCGGGGCAGCAATGGGCGCAGACTGTCACAAGAGCTCAATTCAGGTAAAAAGGGGGGTGTGCTATTCGGGGCTGGGGCAGGAAGCATATTCATTCAGCTGTGGTTTTCTAGTTTGTTTGCTTGTTTTTTTTTCCTGCTGTGTTTCTTTGAAAAGATGGTTTTTCACTCTTCCAAGGGCTTTGCAGGGCTGGGATAAGAAGTCAGCTCCGTCCATCTATGCAGAACTGAACTCCTGAGTTCACACACTCGGAGCTTTTGGGAGATGCTTGGTATTGGGCTAGCACAGTGGGCAGCAAGGGGGCTTGCAAAGCATGCAGCAAACAGCGTGCAGGGAGCTGCTGAGAGCTGGGGTCTGCTGCCAGCTGGGTGCAGGCATGGAGGTTTGGGCGTGGGGTGAATTGCCCCAGCTGGCTGCTCAATGTGCCACAGGTGCTGGGTGTCATTTACTTTCCCTTCCGCCAACACAAGCGAGCGAAAGGTACTTGAGGTTTAAAGCAGGCAGGAGAACGTGCTGTGCTGAGCGGTTTCAGTGGTGCAGCATCGGCTGCCGGACCAAGTCGGGTCCCTGCTGTGTCAGGGCGGTGACAACAAGTTTGGGGTTAGGAAGGGCAAGAAGCGGTGCCTCCCATTCCCCATGCATCCTGAGCCCAGCAGAAGGTGTGATTGCATTGCCTGCTGATGGGTGAAACTGGGAACTGGACCGAAAGGAAGCTGGGAAAAGCCTCAGCTCCCGTTTTGTCCCCAGCTGATAAAATGCCGCTGCACAGTGAGGTGTTCAACGCAGGTGGCTTCTTAACCTGTTTTGCAGGTGGACTTGTAAATAAGGCTGAGTCACTGCTGCTCTGTCAATACTGGAGATTAGAAGTTATAGCTAACTGTTTATGTATCCGAGTCCAGATCCAGCTCAGAGCTGGTTTATGGGCCTGGTTATGTTGTTTGTATTCTGGTACAGGCCAGGCTCTTCTCCATCTCGGAGTACCATTTGTTCTGGATCCTGCTTGAACACATTAGAGGAGGGAAAAAAAACAAAACAAAACCACAACTGTCCTTCCCTTACCAAAGTCTACAAGGCATAAAAATAAATAAATTAGAGCAGTTGTTTACGTATGCTGATTTCCTGTTGAGGCCTATGAGATGCTGATGTGAAAACCTGCGAGAGGATTGGGCCCTGAACTCTAACCACACAGTTTTACAGTCACACTTCCTGTACATTTGCAAACACTTACTGGCAATACTGGCACCCGTCTGTTTCCCAAAAATTGGGGGTCCACCTGGAATTCGGAGGATCCCTCTGTACCTCTTCGGGAGAAGCCACATGGACTCAGGTGGCAGCAAAAATGTGCAGCTTCCAACAACGCGTGCTATGGGACTACTGGGTGGAAGAAAGCTTTTGTCACCAGGTATTAAGCCTGGTTTTCATTTAGGGCTTGCTTGCCTTGTTTATTTGTCTTTGGATGCATAGGGAGCAAAGGGATTTCTCTGCTGGTCAAGGATTTGAGCGTTGTCCTGATCCCTTGTTCTACCAGGCCTTGCTTAGGGTAGGGACCAGATGCTGGTGTTTCTGCGAGGCTGGGTTGCAACCCACGCTTCTCGTATTTTTAGGGTTTTGTAGATGAAGGCAGGAGCCTTGTGGCAGTGTGTGATGAAGAGGAGGAACAATGTAATTCATGAACAGTCACGCAAAGGGGAGCAAACATTGCAGGAGGGCTGGGAGGCCCAGCACCAACAGTACTAAGCTGAGCTCAGGAAGTGGAGTTCCTAATTCAGAGAACGAACTCGTTAACCTTGCCCTACTTCATTTCCCATCTGTAAAATGGGGCTGGTGGCACTTCCCTGTTCAGACATGTTGCCAGGGTGTGCGCACAGCTCTGGGAACGGTTGGGATAACTACACTAAGGCTCAGGTCAGGGGGACATCCCATGCCAGGGGACATCCCATGGACATGGCTGTCCTCACACCTGCACGTAGTTGTGCAAAATGCAGCTTACCGCCCCTACAGTGAAGAAGGACAAGTGCAAATACTATCTGTGCAGTCACACTTAGCTCCTGTATGGGCCACATCAGCTGGAATCCCAAAGCGCTTTGCTGAGAAAGGTGTAGGTGCTATATCTGCTTCTGCTGCTAGGGAAGTGGACAGAGATTTGGAACAAGGCTCTGTGAGGATGTCTGCTGTGTCAGGGTTGTGCCTGGAAAACCCAGCCATCTGACTCAGAGTTTGCAGTGCTAAACTGGCAACTGCTCTCTTACTCTGATTACCCGGGCTTTCTCATTTGTTTGTGTGCTTAATACTCACATAACAAACTCGGAGAGGTGTACGGCTTGGTCCCTAGTTGTTTATCTTAGCCGTGGACTTGACATCGCATGCGAAAGAAATGATGAATTGATAAATAGTTGCTCAGAGAGGTTAGTCATGAGGACAGGAGGATGTGAGTAGCTCCATGTCTTCATCTCCAAGACCACCTGCAAAATGAGTAGAAAAAAAAGTGACCTGTTTAAGCCCAGGCTCTCATAGTTTCTGTAGAGCAACTGAAATTTTTTGAACCTGCTTTTCTTTGCTCTGGTGCCCCTGCAGGTCCCATCTCCAGCACAAACAGACATTGAGTATTGGATTTCCCTGTTGAACTGCATCTCCCTTCAATATGAGATTTCCATTTAAAAAAAAAAAAGTCATCCTTCTTATGGCTACACAAGGGAATAGCCCTGCTCTGGAAGTGCCTTATGGCTCCCTTATTCCTGCCTGAAAAGGATGTTCCAAAAAATCACTTCTAAAAACATTGTTGGGCCAGAGCTGATGCCCACCCATCTCAGGCATCCCACCGAGCACGGGGCCCTGCCTCCCTTTGCAGTCCCAGAGATCAGCAAATATGGGACAGGTCTCAGCTTGGGCAGCAAAGTACCCGAGCAAGACCATGCAGTGGCCCCCAGCCCCTGCTGGGGTGGCACCCCCTGAACTAAAGCAGGTTCCTTGACTCCAGTCCAGGATCTGGACCAGAAAATCTCCCTAATCAATAGAGAAATTTCAATCCTAAAACCAATGGCGTTTGCCCAGTAGGTCTGTGTGGTGGCTGTTTGAGGATCTCGCTCCTCTTTTGGGTGGGAAGATATTTTCTGTAAAGAACAGAGCAAGGGGAGTTGCTTTGTGCTGAGCAGATGACTCTGGGGAAGGCAGTTTTTCATTCACCTGTCTGGAAGCTCTGATTTCGAGTGATGCAGGGTTATGCCAGCACGATGCATTTTTAAGCTGATCAGCCTTTGATCCTAGATGGCATTGCTGATGACAGGGGTAGGTTACACAAGGTGCTGCCTGGCCTGGTGGAAGCTGGCTTAATTCCTTTAATGCAGATGCTGCTTGTCCCACACCTGAATTGCAACTGCAACCCCTCAAAGCAAAAACCTCCAGGGACTGTTCTTGGTCCCTTGAGCTGTCTTCTCCCTTGGGATCCAGCCGATGTTTCCCAGTTGGATATCAGTCTCTGTGCGGACAGCTACTGTGGTTATTGCCCATCTCCTGAGCTCAAAAGGGACGCTGCCAGGTTGCATCTGTCACTATTGCAGCCTGTAGCGGGGCTGTTAAGTTGTAATGACATCTGAGGGGTGATTTTTTGGAGGCTGATAGTTTTTACCAGCTGCACCCTGGGAGAGAGGAACAGTGAGAAAGAAAGCAGAATCCAGGCGAGGGGCTGCTCTTGGAGCAGGTCTGGCCTGGGTGCTGGGGACCGAGCGTGATGGGGTCACCACTTGGCAAAAGGGAAGCGGAGCAGAGTCCTCCCCTGCAGCACGGGGTCTGCCTGATGCCGAGCCCCCTGGTACTGCCCCAGGAGCCCAGAGATGCAGGAGGAGCTCCAGCCTGCTCTGCACTGCTGGTCCTGAGCATCCACGTGGCAAGTCCCGAGCCAGAGCCTCGTTCTTCCAGTGGGGGACACCCAGAGGTGGTCCCAGTAGGTGCTGCAGGTCAGCATATGGGAGAAAAAGGGGCACATCCTCCTGTCCTCATGTTACTAAAAGTAGTGCCTGGGATAGTTAAAAGCAGGGATTTTTGGGTACGCTTATTTCCTCTTTTGTTCTTGCAGTTTGTTTACTCTGCCTCTCACTGAAACTGTGACTCAGTCAGTTTCGTTTTCTGCTTACTGCTCCATGCTTGGCTCCTAGTAAGGTTGGATTTGTTTACCGCCAAATAAACCTGCTCCCGCAAAACAAAAAACAGTCCCCTGAAAACACAGCCACCGGGGCTTGTCACTTCCCTTCTCCTTTATTTACACAGCCCAAACACCCTGTAACCCGAGTCTCCGCCCAACAGGTCCTCTGCTGTCCCTGCACCACCCTACCCAGGGCTGGGTCCATCTCCCAGGGGCTGCGCAGGGGCCGTGGAGATGTCACCATCCCGTAGCATCGCTGTGTTGGGAATGCAAGTGGCCAGAAAACCGTGCACACAGGCTGGTGGGTGGATGTGCTGGGATGCCGGGGCGGGGTTTTGGCTGGATTTGCTGCAACGAGCTGCCCCGCTTGCTGGTGCAGGTTTGCCTGATGGTTGTGTGCTCCCAGTGCACCTTGAAAACCATCACCTAAAGCCGCAGGTCTGTGGGGTCCTGCTGTCCTGCTGCTGCTTTAACTGGGCGCAGTGCTTTGCACCTCGTTTAATGTCTGTGAATCTGTGGTGTGCACATGGTATTTCTGTCCCTTACATTTGGTGGATGTGCTCGTGGTATTTCGGTCCCCTATAGGTTTTGCAGATGTGCCATGCTATTTTGGTCCCCTACAGATTTTGTGGATGTGCCCGTGGTATTTCTGTCCCGTACGTATTTTGTGACTTAGAAAAGAAATTGGGAAGAAGTGCATTAACTGGACTTCAGAGCTGGTTCCCCCAAATCCTGGGCTGCTAAACTAGTGCTGTAAGCCTGAGTGTTCCTCCAGCCAGAATACATTCCCCGGGGTAGCTGAAACCAAGCTCTAATCAGAGACACCCTGTGACAGACCAGGTACTTTCCCCAGGAGCTATGCAGTGCGTGAGATAAGGTATCGGTCACCATGGTACCTTTGGACTGGGACGCCTACTGGGGGCTCCCTGCTCCAGGTCCCAGCTGCAACAAGACCCTTTCCCATCCCCGAGCAGCACAGGGTGCACAGAAGAGGTGCTGCCCTCTTCTCGAAGGATCTGTCCCCATGCCCCACGTGCAGTTCTTGAGCCCGAGCAGCATCCAGATGGCGCAGGTTTGCCGCTGCTACTTGCTCCTGACTCATTTCCTGCCTGAGCTCGGTTTTCGCGCGCACTGTCAGAGCCGGTGACGTGACTGCCTGGGTGCCTGCCCCCGCTGAACCCCAAATAGCTGGCGTGCCAAACCCTGCTTGTTTACGAGAGCAAGGGAAGGAAGCTGCGGCACCCAAACCCAGCACAAGCACCAGCTCACAGCCCAGAACCTCTCCGTGCCCAGGGCTCGTTGCCTCCACATGGGGTTCGTTAACAAAGCGCAGGGCCTGGGGGTCCACACATGGCTGTGTTCAGACCCCTCGCTGGGCTGTTTGTCTGCTTGCCAGTGCAAGATAAGGAGCCACCTTTTTGGTGTATGATTTCTGAGTTATTTGAAAAACTCATCTTTCTGTTCCTGCCGGCAGCCCGTGCACAAGGCACAAACCCTCCCCTGGCCTCGTCGCTGATGGGTGTAGGTGAGACTGGCAGTGAGTGATTGAATCAGCCAAATTATTATCAGTTATTCCAAAATGACCAGTTTAACCTTTGGTCACTGTGTCATTGCTGATGCCACGCAAGGGCACGATCATGGGTGGCATTTAAATAGAAACAACCCTGCGTTGTTTGCTGAGAGAGGCTTTTCTGCACTGATTGAGCTTTGCCTCTTGGGGTCTGGGTCCAGGATTCCTGAATTTATCTCTGCTGAGCAGTTCCCTTACAAAGAGGTGCTGCCACGTGGGGAGAGCTTGAATGTCAGCAATGTGTGTGGCGATAGTCCTGTGTCTGGACAAAAAAAAGGATCCAAATGTGGCCTGTGCCCCTCCAAGAAAAAAGTCTAGCATCGAAATGAGCTTTCTGAGAACTGATCCATGTTGGATTGCTTTTGCGTTACTTTCTGCTGTTCACTTATAGCTGTGAACCCCAACCCTGCAACTGCAAGGGAAGAGGCAAACTTGGCTGCGTTTGTCACGTTCTGGGGATTCCTGAAATGCTGTGCAGACCCCTGGCAGAGGGCTTGGCTGGCTGCTGAGAGCAGCGACCGCCCGAAATGTGAGCACCATTTGGGTGTTCATCCAAGGGAGAGGGGCTGGGGATGAGACGCAGGGCCACAGGGTGAGGGGAAGGATGCAGACTGCGATGGGAGGGCACCGCCAAGGATGCACGTGGAGAAAGGAGATGTTTGAGCAGGCCAGCACAAATTCAAGCTGGAAACGAAGGTGTGATCCCTTTCCAACTTGGGGAAAGCGAGCAGGTGAGCTGCCCCCTTGACTTTTCTTCCCCTTGTCTCTCTCAGAAGACCAGGTGGCTCAGGAAACCGAGGAGGTGTTTCGGAGCTACGCCTTCTACCGCTACCAACAGGAGAGAGAAGAGAGCGGGGAAGAAGTGCCCTTGGACCCGGAGATTGCGGAGATCCAGCAAGACCTGGGCAGGTAAAACTCAGGCACCAAGTGCACACACATCCCTCTACCCTGCCCCAGGCCAGGCTCCGTTATAGACCTGCTTCTGGTCTTACTAGGAAGCCTGGCCTGTCTGTTGTAATGCCATTTTTCCCCTGGGCAGTACCGGGAGCCTGGTGGGAAGGCGCCTGGCCATCATCGGCGATGACATTAACAAGCGGTACGACGCTGAGTTTCGCTACATGCTGAAATCCTTGCAGCTCACCAAGGAGAATGCCTACGATTACTTCATCAAGATTGCCTCCAGGTAAGGCGCCAGCACCCTTGGTGCAGGCAGGAAACCTTCTCCTGGAGGAGGGCAGGGATGGAAAGGTCCCGCTGGGTGCAGTGCAGCCCATTGAGACCTTGTCCCCCAGCCCAGAGCAGCCACCCCTGCTGCAGCACACAGACTCTGTTGGTTCAAACTCCATCCACATCCCTGCCTTGAGCTTTGTCCAAGCTCACCATGAAGGTTCCTGCGTTTTCTGCCTCTGCTCTTGCTCCTGCTGGCACAGTCTTCACACATTATCCCCTCGGCCATGCAGCGGTGGTCCTTGTTCAAGCTGTCTGGGGGCAGAAAGTCTGGGGAAAGTGGCTGGGAAGTGGGGCCAAGCAAACGTCCCAGCTCCCATCCAGGTGTACAACCAACCCCAGACCAAGGCATAGCTGCTGCTGGTCCCAGCACTGCCTGGCTGGCGGCTGGAAGTCCTGGAGGGCCAAGCTTTTGAAAGACACAAAGAAAACACAGCCCTGGGGAAGGGCAGGCGCTTGCTGCCCATGGTGGTGTCCGGCTGGAGCAGGATGGGGCTGGCTCCAGATGTTGGGATGCCCCAAAAGCCTGCAGTTGTCTGGTGCAGGCAACGCGTGCCCAGCTTTCCCACTTCAAGCACAGCAACGGGATGAGGACTGAGATGCAAACACCTGGATAACTTTTTGCCCTGACTGCACCAGATGCAGGCTCGTGTCTGTGTCCTGAGGCACCTTACTCTGCAGCATTACGCCGGCTCCACCGAGGTGGCTGCGGATGCTCCAACTGTGCCTTGAGGGGCTCAGTCCTCACCCCTCTCCCTGCATTTTGTCCATAGGAAAACCAAGACCCCGTGCACATTTAAGGGTTTGCCCAGGGTCCTGCAGAAGACCCCTGGCAGGGCTTTTCTGGGTTCTGGCCCCGGGCTCTGGCAGCTCCTGCGGTGCAGACCCGTCCCCGCGCACCCTCTGCTCGGTGTGTGTTGTCTAACTGCCTCTCTTCTGTCCTCTTCCTGCTCCCCTCTCCTTGGGAAGCCAAGCTGCGCTGTTTTCACCGCTTTGCCACCCTGAGGCGGTTAACGCACCGCAAACAGGTAAATTAACCTCTGTCCCTCTCTCTGTGCTACCTGTGTCCTCGTGGTTCCTTCCCTCGCCCTCCTAGACCGGCTCTGCAGAGAGGAGAGCTCCCTTCAGCTGTGCAGGGACAGCTGGGGCAGCACCAGGTTAAAACGCAGCACTTACTTTTCTTTTTCCCCTTCTTATTTTTTTTTATTTATTTTTGATTTTATTTTTCTTTTCTTGTTTTCCAGCAAGGTAAGCAAGTAGGAAAAAAAAACATCTAGGTAAATCAGTGCCAAACCTGCACATGGCAGATTTGTGCCCACAGCAGCTGAAACTGGGATCAGGAACACTAGGACACAACTTAGATGTATTTTGGAGCCCCACAGCCCTTGGGAGCATCAGCTGAAGGCGAGGTCAGCTGTAGGTCTGGGAGGGGTGTGTGCAGGAAAAGGGAAAATCCTGTTCCTTCTGCCTGGGATGCTGTGGTGTACTTGGGCTGCTGTTCCTGCTCCCAGCTGCATGTGCAGCAGCTTCGGAGTTTGCTGCAGCCTACAGCCAACTTAAAGTGGCACCTGCTCCAGCTTGCTGGGGTTAACCCCCTGGCTTGTGAAAACCCACGTAGCTCAGGAGCTTCTTCACAGGAGCCAGCATGCCCCTGTATTTGGGTGCAGACCTGAGGGAACGATGGAATGGGCAGGAGGGTGGCAGGACAGCCACAGCCATCCCAAGGTGGAATCAGTTCAGATATTCAGAGCCTGTAGCTGTGTGTGCAGGGTTTGGAAGCTTCCTTTTTTTCCTACAACATCCCCAATCCACCTGGCTGGGGTGTCTGTGTCAGTGTCTGTGGCCGAGGCTGTGGTTGCTCTGCTCTGACAGCACATCAGGTTATTTATTGGTGGCCACGTGTTGCTTGGCCACAAAATTACGGCTTTGCCCAGGTGGCAGGGATGCGCCTCAAGGACTAGGGAGGCGAGCCAGCCTCAGCAGTTTTTGGGGGCAATTTAACCAAACCTATCGGCTTCGTTTCAGCCTGTTTGAAAGCGGCATTAACTGGGGCCGGGTGATCGCGCTGCTGGGCTTCGGCTACTGCATGGCCATCCACGTCTACCAGCACGGCATAACAGGCTTCCTCCGCCGCATCGCCCGCTACGTGACGGAGTTCATGCTGCGCAACCGCATCGCCCAGTGGATCGCCCAGCAGGGAGGATGGGTGAGCCAGGGGGGTCACGGCTTGTGCCCTGGGGGACCTGTGGGGCAATGGGAGGCTGATGGGCTCCGTAGGTGCAGCTGAGGTTGGTGGGGCCGGCAGCGTGGGCAGAGCAGGAGGCCGGCCCAGGCAGGGTGCAGGCAGGTCTAACGCCCCCTGATAACTCTCTGTTTCCCGTCAGGTGGCTGCACTCGATCTGGACAATGTTTACATGAAGTACATGCTGGCGGTGGTGGCCCTGGTGATGGTGGGGCATTTAGTGGTACGACGCTTCTTCAGGCCCTGACCGACGTGGGGGCAGAGACTGGGGGGTCCGGCCAAGCTCTCTCTCAAACCTCTGTCCTGCATTGACGTCTCCCAGGAGAGGGGGGCGATTTGAGGAACTTCTGGGGGAGAGAGAGCGCAGCTTGGACCTGTGACCCTCCTGCTGCAAGATGCAGGGTCTCTGCCACCTGCAGCGATGCCACCAGGAGCTACAGAGAGAGGCAGTGGGGGGGGGAAGGTTTGACTTTGTTGGCTGTTTTAAGCCTCACTGTGCTGAGGACAGAGCATCACCGTGACCCCAGTAGCCCGCAACAGGGAGGCAGGAAAACAGGCTCCTCTGGAGGAACAAAAGCATTGTTGCGATCATGCGGGCGTGGGCGTATCTGTGCATGTGTCTTATGTCTCTTCCACTCTGTGCTGTTCCTAAGACACTCCATGGGGTAGGCACAGAGCTCCCCCATTGCTGCTGGCTCTAGCCCAGATTTGCATTCAAAGAGGGATTCCAGCCTTGGTTGCTCCGAGCATTGGTTATAAGTCCCTGGAGGGGTGAGCCAGCGTTAGAAAGACATGTGGTGCTTGCTTTCACCTTCCCCGTGCTCCTAAGCCCAAATACTTGAGCTTTCCCTTTCCTTTTAGCAAGCAACCCCTTCCCATTTTTAAAGGAACATGGTGACAGGAGCACAACCTATTATCTGACAATCGATGGCAGCAGCCAGCAGTGCTGGCACAGGCAGACTTCCCCTGCCCCAGCCCAGAGCCCAAACCTGCAGCATCCCATGGCCGATGCTGGTCTCAGGGCCGCAGTCATGCCTTGCTGCCCTGCACCCCAGCCATTGCAGGAGTTCAGAGGCTGCATGCCAGCAGGCCTTGGGAAGCAGCAGGTTTCCAAACACTAAAAAGCTGTGGGGTGGTGACTCGGGGGTGTGCAGGCAGCCTGCCCTCCCTCCAGTCTGCTGGCTGCTTCCATCCAGCACACTGCACGCTGGCACGTGAGCAGCCCCAGTACAACCAGTTGGTTCCCTTGCTCTCACTGGGAGGCACTGGTTGCATCTCACCCCTGCACAGGCTGTTTGTTATGTCCTCTTTGAGCTAGGGCTGCCACGTTGGGGCTGTGGGGACAGCAGGGTACAGCACGCTGCCCTGGTAACCCATGGCTTTTTCAGCAAAGGATTTGACCTTGTTCTTGACTAATGCTTGAACATGAGTTTTGGGGGAGGCAAGGACCCAAGCAGGTGCTGCTCAATCTCCAATCTTTCTGACTTTTGCAAAATAGGGAGAGCATCCCAGTGCAGATTGCATGGTTTAGTTCCATCTGTTCTTTTTACTCCAGGTGACTATAAGGCTTGAAACTGTGACTGGCCCTGTCTGAGCCATTCCAGCATCACTGAGCTCCTAGAGCAGCTCAGCCAGCTGGGGGAGGGAGCCAGGAGGACCTCGGAGGTAGGAAATGAGCCACGGACCCGTGCCTGAGCTCCTCTCCTGTCACAGAGGGACCCCGGGGCTGGAGCAGCACCACAGGCATAAGCAGCCTGAGCCCTCTACCCACTGGGGCTGCCCCATAATGGCGGGACCTTGCCTGGCTTTGCTACAGCAAAATGGGCTGGGGGACCACAACTGCCCTTGCTCTGGCTCATCCCCATGGCAGGGGGGTCACTGTGGCAGGGCTCACCCAGCTCACCCACAGCCCTGCCTAGGGTCACTGGGGTGGGCAAACTGGGGGCAGAGGGAGCAGCCCTTTTGCCCCACTGTACCAAAGGTGTTCCTGGCAGACACCTGGCTGTCGTGTTTTTAAAACCTTCCTCTATCACCTCACCGTGTCATTACTTCCTACCTTTGTCTTCAGGTAGATTTTTTCCTCAATGTCTCTCCCTTGGGACTTTGTGTCCTGTCAAAGTACAGACAGAGGACACCTGGCAGCCTTCCTCCTTGCAGCTTAGCGCAGGACCAGCCATAATTTTGTATCACTTATGTCCCTCAAGTTCCTTTTCTTTTTTTAACGAAAGAATAGCAAACTTTTTGGCCTCTTTCCATATCAGTCTTTCTGTGCCCATCACTTTCTGCAGTATCCCAATCCCTGGTGGAGTGTCCTGGACTGTATTCCCTAAAAAGGCATTAAAATATTTACTATAATATTCTTCTGCTATATATCTGTTTGGGTTGCTTTCTTTGTAATACGTATGTGCTGAGCAGCACAAGCCTGCAGTGGTTTGTCTGTGCCCAGGTTTTGCAGCTATGCTCATGCTCTGTGAGCAGCTTGACCTCCCTGTAGTTTATCTGTCCCCTTGCAAGTGCACTTCTTCGCATTTATCCACACACAGCTTCATTTACCATCCTGCCACCTGTTCAATTGTCTTGAGCAGATCTCGAGATTTCCTGACTCTTCTCTGGCACGAACCACTCTGAACAACCTAGTGTTATCATCTGCAGTTTCCTCTCCCCCCAGCTTACCTTCTTTTTCTGGGTGAAAACACCACCAGATGGAGCTTTTTTGCCACAGCGAAAATGAACTGATAATTGTTATTTTCCTTTTCTCTTAATCAGTCACGTTATTGATCTGCCACGGTCCTGTAGTTGTCTGATTTGGTTATGTCTCCAGCAGGACTTTTTCCAGAGGGCCTTGGAAAGAAAACAGTACATCAACTTTTATTCACTACTTTACTGACACACTCCAAGAACTCTAACAGATTGGAGTACTTCTGCTAGTACAGAAAGTCATGCTGCTTGTAATTTATTCTCATATTCCAGAGAAGGGGTTTCACCCTGCAAACCACATTCAGACGTAAGGCCATTTAAATAAAGGCAATTTTTCAGCTTTATGGTAGATGATCAATCCTTAGTAAAGTCTGTGATACCAGGACTGAGAAGGGAACTTCTGACGTAGGTGCTGTACAAAGGGAAGTTTCCGTTTTAGCTATTTCCTCAGGGGATTTGCAGGGAGGATTGCCTCAGGGTATCAGCACGTCGTCTCACTCTGCTCTCACCTCTCCCAGCTTTCCTGGCACCATGGCTGAGCAGACAGGCTCAAAGTGGGAACGTGAATGGGTGGCTGCTCTGTAGTACTGCGTCCCGTCACTGGATGGCCACAGCACTGCAGCCACAGCCACCTGGGTGCTGAACTCCCACGGGGGGGAAAATCCTACTTCCAGGCCCCCTCTTTGGCCAGGTGACGGGTGGTTTGTGCCCCCAGAGCTATGCCGCACACCAGGCCCTGGCACGCAGCAAGGGCAGACATGGCTGGGCCGGGGCCTGACCGCTGCTGGGAGCAGGATGGGCTGGGGCTGCTGGACCCAAGGCAGAATAAGGTGAGAAGGCTTTGTCCTCCCCAGCAGATGCTCTTTGCAGGGCCGGTGGGCCCTCTGAAGAGCTGCAGCAGGAATCTACCTCAAAGCCCCACAAGGCGGAGTTCAGGGAAGGGCCTGGCTGAGGCACCGCAGGGCACCTGGGCTACGTGCAGGCAGCTTTAGCTCAGGCTGGAAGTGTCAGGAGCCCTTTTTACCAAAATGTGCATCCCTACTACAGAAGTAAGAGCTCTAAGGAAGAAAAAAAATAATAATAAAATAAAGAAATCTCAGAATAACCCCAAATGTTCCCTGAAAGGTTGAATCAATCAGTTCCTTCTGGAAGGATAAAGACCTGATCAATATTTTTAAGCAGTGGAAGCTGTGTTTAAACAGCAACCTGATACCCTGTATGAAAAGAAGCCCACGTAATGCACTGGTTGGCAGGCTCTCCCTGTTGTCACCTTCCTAGCCACTATGGTGCTATTGGGGCGTGGCTGCCCCCAAAGCTTTGGTTTCTTCCCCAGTGAGCAAGAGAAGCAGGGAGAGGAAACCCTCAGCTGGAAAAGAAAAGCAGGAGAGCAGAAGGCTCAGCTCTGGTTGCTCACAAGGTGGGGATTGTTCACTGGCTCAAACGGGTGAGAAGGAAAGTTTCAGCCCCTGTCAAAGACACCTGAATCGCTGCAGGGTTTGGTGGTGACATAGCAGCTGGAGCAGATGTGGCATTTGTCTAGCAGTGACCCAAGCCAGGGCTGTATTTCGGGAAGGTCTGGCTCTCTGTGATACCTGTACCGGCTGGCACCTGCGCCTGCCTGACTCTATACCGGGTAGGGAAAGGAACTGAAGGCTCCTGCTGCTTCCCTTCTCCACCCAGCCCTGTTACATGGGATGGTTTCAGCATCGTGGTGCCCGGTGAAGGCTTAGGTGCACCCTAGAAGCAGCAACGAGGGTTGCAGGCAGTGGTTCCAGCCCCCAGGGCTGGAGGTGTTGGAAACGGGTGCGAGCCAGGGCTGCCGATCAAGGTCAAGGCCACGTGCTCCATGATGCTGTTCCCAGTCCCTCTCTGCTGGGTCCCTGCACATGAAGGATTTCAGAGAGGAAATTGGGGCTTTTCTGGTGGGTATTTCTTTTGTGCCAGAGGCAGCCCAGAGGAGGTGCTAAGTGACACAGAGTTGCCCAGACAGAAAATTCTTCCTTCAATTTGAAGTGTGTGTTTGTGAGTGGGCAGGGAGATTTAATTCGTATTGGTAATAATGGGTCTGTAAAAAGGGGGTGAGAAGCTGGAGGAAGAGCATCTCATTTAATGAGTTTAGTCTGAGGGCATGGTGTATTCCCCCTCCACCCCAGCTCTTTTCTCCTGAATGGAGGAAGCTGCCTGAGCTATCAGCTTGCTTGTCAGCACATCCCCTCACTTGTGGCTGTTCCTCATGCTGTGAGCCAACAGCCCAAACCCTCCCTGCCAAACGCAGGGAACAGCAGGGTTCAGGCTCCGAGGACCGCTGCCCCAGAGAGACCAGTGTCTTTGCGATCAGGACTGGTGGCAGCTTTCTGTGAAGCTCTGTGTGATAGGTTTATGCATATACTTGAAGCCACGCTGTCTCTATTCACTCTTCCTCACCTTTCTGGCAGCAGTATAGCGCACGATGCTCCACACAGCTCCCTCCCCAGCTCCTTTCTGTACCCCTCCAGGAAGCCCTGCTCAGGAAGAAGACGGGGTACATGATGGAGCAGAAAAGCATTCCTTGCACTGACTCTGGAGGGGTGGGAAGGGGCTGGTGAACACCTTTTCTTTCCAGTGGGAGGAGGAGGAGGAGAGGGAGGAGGCAGGCCACAGGTTGTGCCAGGGGCAGGCAGAAGGAGCTGCCTGCAGACCAGACCAGCTTTAAAGGACAGACAAAGGGGCTGTGTGGAACATGGTGGCTTGCTTTTACCACAAATTTCTTCTGCATTTCTTTCACAAATATTCTGTTTTAAAGTGATGTAATATATATATATATATATTTGAAAATAAAAAAAAAGGTACATACAGCGCTTTCCAGATGTGTTGATTTTTTTTTTTCCTGGAAGATGTACTCCTTTCATTGTGCATTTTAGGTTCCTTTGCAAAAATTTGCAAGAGCTATTCAGTCACAGGCTCAGTTTCACCATTAGTTTAGGGAGATCAGGCCTTCTTGTATGTTTTCTAGCATAAAGAGCTAGGTGGGGAGAGGAATGTGCTTCTGAACCTCACTTTGCCGTCCAAGACAGTGCCATCAGAGCAGGTGCTGCAGGGATGAAGGAGACAGCAGCAGTAATCGTCTGTCTGATCAGCCCCTTGGCCTGCCCAGAAGTTAAGGATCTTATCTCTGATGTGTCCACACCTCAAGAAGCAATAAGGATAGGAAATTGCAAGAGAAAAATCCATTACAGAGGCGTACAGCAGGGTTCTCGGCTGCTGTAAAACACTCTGGGAAGTGAAAGGAAACTGATGTTCTTATCAGAAGTGTCCAACACCGCTGAGACTGGGAGGTGCTACCACCTTCACAGAGCAGTCACAGCGCTAAGCACACAGCAGAAGCTGGCACAAAGATGCCCCAAGGAAACTGGGGCATGAGCACTCCTGCAACAGCTGCCATCCTGGGCAGCCCTTCTCAAACCCCATCCCAGATCCCCAGGCTCTGCCACATTCACCCGCTCTCTTTCCATACCCCAAGGCAGCACACAGGCTCATACTCAGCTGTCCTCAATCATTCTCTTCCCTACGTTGCTCCCTGAGATGGATCTTGCTAGCTTACCCACTTCCCACACCTCCCTGGGCCAGCCTGGATGCCAGCTTCCCGCAGTTATCCTTACTGGTACTGGGGGGCAATACCTCCATGGGGTAAAAGAAGCAGGCATTAGGAGATACGCTGCTTTAACACCACCACCACCTGGGGTGGGACAGGTGGGTCTGTGCAGTGTTAAAAAGCTCCAGCCTCTGTAATGAGCACTAACACATCCCCCTTGTGCTTACTGCCACCTGGTTGCCACTTCTGCCCTTTCCTTCCCACCCGCAGAGCAGGGCACACAGCATCATTATGGCCCTGGTGCTGGGGGCTCCGATTGTGATGGGACACACGGAGCCCAGGCAGGTGCTGGTGGCTGCAGAGGGGTAGGGGAGATGTCCCCGTCTCCATCAGTCCTTGCTGATGAACACAGAACATCCTTCCAGATCCCTGTCCCCAACCTTGACAAGCATCTGGTTTCTGGTTCAGAAAAGGCTGGAGGTAGGGGATAGCAGGATATATGGTCACTGTAGGACTCTGGGGTAGCAGAGGTGGCTTAAAACAGGAACAGTTCTGCTTTGTCAGCAGGCAGAACAGCACAGCTGTTGTCTTTCAGCCCACTTAGCAATGAATCTAAGTGACTCAACAGCTCCCATCCGCTTCTCTGCCCCATCCCACACCACTGCAAACAAGTGTGCCTATCCAACAGAGCAGTGACAGTTTCATGCCATTCCCCTTCATATGCCCTGGATTTGCAATTTCTGCTTCTGAATGCCAGCCAGTGAAAATGAGGCAAGATGCCTGCCAGGATGAGCTGGGACCAGAAGGTGCTGCAGGGTCTGAACCCAGGCCATACTCATTTTCTGCAGAATTAATCCTGGGGAATGGATATGTGAACACCAGGAGCAGGAGAGGAGATGAGGGCTCTGGTTATAAATCGCAGCAGGAAAAAAATAAAAAAAATAGGGGCTCAGGCTTTCCAGACAGTCACTCGGTAGTAGATTAAGCATCAGACTGTAAATAAATATTTACCCTCTAGTTCCTGGTCTCTATAAATAGCCATATCACACAAGTGCCAGTTGGTACTTTGAGATTGCTGGGGTGAGATTCGAGCACGATCAGAGGATCCCCAGTCACGCAGCCCTGCACATACCTGGCTGCCCCTGCACAGCCTGCATGCAACGCCCTGCCCAGGCTCTGTGCCTCGCTGCCTCTGCCTCTTCATGCAAGGAAAGGTTAAACTTTAACAACAGATACATGGCCCTAATTAAAGAGAGCTGCTCCTGCAATCCGCTTTGTCTCCTGCCCCAAAACCAGATCAAGCTCCTAATTAAATTAATAGAAAAAAAAAAATAAGGCCACAATATTATTGAAGTATTTGCCTTTGGCCATTCATACAGATTTGACCCTAAACCAGAATCCAAAATACGGTGGCAATCTAAATCTAGATCTGGTATTTGAGACAAGTGCCATACCTCTAAAAATGGGTCAAACTCCAAACAACCCTGAGTTTTGTGGAAATAAAGGTCCTTCTGGATCATTTCCAGGGCATGAAATGAGAGTGGGCAGAAGCTGGGAAATCACACTTGTTTTTTATCATCTTATTTTTTTAAGTACAAATACTTAGCTTCCAGGCAGTTTTCCTTCATTTGGGATGCATTTGAAGATTCTCAGCCTCTGGCTACAATTCAGCACACTGTCACTGAGATGTCAGGGACACAATTCCTCCCAAGGGCTCACTCACATCCATTCATGCCAGGCATCATTTCTATCACCGATACCTGGGATTCCACACAGGACTGGCCTGCACTGGCACAAATGAATTGAAGAAAACTGGCTTTCATCTCCCTGCTGAAGTGAGGACACACAGCTGTAAAATTCCAGGATTGACAAGAACTGGCACAAGCACCTCCAACAGCAGTCGTGCTTTGTGACAGTGCTGCAAGAACTCACAGCAAACTGTTTATTTATTTATTTAGTTATTTTATTTATGTTTATTTTTTCCCCATGCTGTGAATTGGCAGCCAGAGATCTGGATTCTTCTCCAGTTCACTCCTTGTTCGAAAATCTTCCCAACTTTCCCTGAATAATGGTGGTGCAGGCTGGCCAAAGGGAAGCCAGCCCTGGAGGCATGGCCATGGGCAGAGGCGCACCGGTTCCAGCAGCTGTGACAGTTGTGACGTGTGTGCAGCCAGGCGCTGCTCTGCTTCCCTGGCAGTCCCACGGGATCAAAGCTGGAGCTCTGGCAGAATAGCTTCACATCTGCATGCAATATACCACTGAGATGTACCCTTATCGTCATATGGCTGTGGGGAATACTGCAGTTAATTCAGTGCCCTTGGATGGATATCTGTTGCAAAAGGGGGAACCTCTTCTACTAAATCAGAAGGCCTGATTCAGCACAAAGCAAGAAACAAATTCAGCTTTTTACTTACACCAGTCACTGAAGTAGAGCAAACCACAACACTACATTTACACAGGTCACTTTTCTAATTCAGAGCTCCCTCTTTCCTAAAATGCCCTCACATTTGCTTGAACCACATCTCTGCCAGTCAATTTGTCCACTGGAATAGTCAAGGGAAGTACCCTGGCATTTACCATGTGCTGATTGTGCTCATCCGGGGGGATTTACGCCTGTGATTTCGGTGGGCTCACTTACTTGCAGAACCTGGACCAAAGGTCAGAAAGCTGAAAGGGGATGAAGTTTGGGTGGCTCAGATGACGCCTTCTTTGAGCAATGCAGCTACAGACAAGTACCACAAGTTGTTCCTAAGCCCTTTTTCCTTGCAGGAGTATCTCTACAGCTAAACAATGACAACACAAGTAATGGCCTGTGCTTCCTGAAAAGACAAAGTGATCCCACCATCATGGCACCAGGCAGCATGGCTTTGCCAAGCCAGCAGGGCAGCTGTCTGAGAAGCAAGGAGCCATTTCCAGCATCCAGCACAAGAGGGAAAGGCAGACCCACAAAAACAGCAAAATTCTGGCACTCTGCATCTTGCTCAGACGGGCTTTGAGCCTTGCCTTTAAGCAGTCTGTAGAGTCTCATTTTGTTATCTGCAAGCAGCATCACTCCTGCAGCATCCCCACCTTTGCTGCTCCCTGATGCAGATATTTCTAGGGGAAATACGACTGAACACCAGTCCTGGCTGAAACACCATGCTCCATCCCATCTAGGCTTCACAGCTGGTACCTTTGCTGCTGGGTGGAGAAGCCCACACTCCTGCAGAGGCTGATGCTGCTGTTCTGATGTGAGGGACATCACCCCAGGGGAAAGGCACCCCAGGAAGAAACCCCCCCCAGCTGCCCAGGAACCCACCAGGGAAGGGTCTCAGGAAGCCTGCCTGTATTTCTCCCATCATTTTCTGGTGAATTTGCTCCATGAGGCAATATTCACTTCACTCACACATCCCTGCATCTGGGGAAAAACAGGAAGAGACAGGATTGCAAGGACTCGCTAACAGAAACGAAATGGAGGTCCAATATGACAATAGTACCAAAATTAGGGCTGTTTAACTCAATAAAATGATGAAAAAGTGAAAAAATAAGTCTTACCTTTCAAATGTTATGGTTTCTCTTCCTTTAGTAAAAACCTTTGTTTTCTGCAGAATCTTTCCCCATATTTTCCTTTTACTGTGAATTCCCTCCAGCTCCTGCATCCTTTCACCTTTTCACTTTCTATTTTTGCAAAGGCTGAAGAAACTCAGCAGAAAAAAATAGTTTTTCTCCTAAGAAAAACTTCTCAAAGCACTGTTTTGATGTATTTTGACAGTTTCATAATTCTCAGCAAAAATATTTTGGCCGAAAAGAAGCAATCACTGGAGTTTTCCCTGCTGGTGCAAATGGCATTTTTATTAAAAGAAAAGAAAAACTAAAATACTTTGATGTAAATTTCTCACTCAATTGAATCTTGGCCTTAACTTAAAAAAAAAAAAAAAAAAAAAAAAAGTCAATAAATGCAGATTTAGAGATAATGCTACTTCCCAGGTCTCGTGGAAGCCTTGAACTAATAAATTAGGGTAGAAAATGGCTTCTACGGAAAATCCAAGACAGCTGTTGCCCTTCCTCCTCATCCATAATCACCAGCAATAAAAAACTTGGAAGCTGACTTATGCCCTCCCTCCCTAATGCACCCAATGAGTATTGCATGCAGGTTTTGTGTTTATGGAGCCCTGGGCGAGCTGAGGGTTTGCCGAGTCCTCAGACCTGGCAGAGCCCTGGCAAGGGACCCTGAGCTCCTCTCGCAGCCAGCTCAGCAGCACTGTGTTAGCAGGAGCCAGAGGAATGTCACAAACCACAGCCAGGAGGCTTCATTGGCCAGGCTGAGTGCAGGAAGGGATATTTTCTCCTGCCCTAGGAATAAATAAAGGCACGCAGTCTCCTGGAGTTCATCATTCGATGCCTGCTGGTGGTGCTTGTCTTACTTTCCCCGAAATATCTGAGAGCTTTCCTTTCTAGTTGCAGAAAACACATCTCAGGGGCTGAAGGTTATCGGCTGCTTTTCCAAGAGCCCAGGAAGGTAAGAGCTGCCCTTCTTTATGGCTTTCCTCTGGAAGTACCAACAGGAAAATCCTCTCCCCATATTTTTCATAAATGGTGAATATTGTGCCCTTACTACGAAGCCTTGGCCAGCTTCAAGTGTGCCCCAGTGTAATTCAGGGCATAACAGCACAGGAACGTGAACTTGATTTAAGTGAGAGCATCACTTGAAACTGCAATAGCTTTTCTCAATCAACTCTGCATTTAGGAAAGACCTTGAAACGCATTTTAAAGTGCTATATTAAGGCATTATTACAAAACCCTCTGCGAACACCATTATTTTGGCTCACTTTAAACTCGATACCCTTGATCTGACATTAATCCAAGGGCTGAGATCATGACTTCACGAGACAGTAGTACGTGGCTGAGTTGTGATAACTCCTAATGCCCTGCCGTACACCTCCCTGCCAGTGACTCTGTACCATTCCTGCTTTTTTTTTTTCTGAGTTAAGGGCTGAGGCCCGGGATACAAGCAGCCAGCCCTCCACGCAGCCCACGGATAGCACCTGCGCAGCACCAGGAGCATCCTACCCAACACCAGGGCAGTACCAGGGGGTGATCGTGGGGTCAGGGGGACCAGAGCTGTGTCTTCTCGCTCATTTGACTCCTGCAGGTCAAAATTAGTGCCACCAAGCACCCTGGTAAAGCAGGTATTACCGGTCATGGTAGATAAAGGCAAAATATTTTATGTCACAGTAATGCCGGGCTAGGTCTGAGCACGTGGTTAATTAAAGAGGCTCAGCTCTTGAAAGTGATAATTTGTGAAGAGTATAGCTTAATTGCTTGCAATCATCTGCCTGTCCCCACACTAAGCTACTCCTGGAGAGAAAGAAGGGGCTGAGCTGTGTCCGTTACAATTTATTTGGCTCCTGCAGGGTAACTTCTGCATGCAGATAAGGCTGCACCATTCCCCTTAGGGTTATCACATGTGAGCAGCTCCATACACCAGTCTTCACCAGCACTGTTACTGACAAATAAACAACACTATGAGAGGCTCCCAGCATTCAAAACTTACCTGGAAGCTTGGTCTGGCCTTTTGGTTATGGCTGGCCCCAAACAGAGCCCCACGGGATGCAGAGTCCCGTGCACGACAGCGTGTTGGGCGAGCACCGGAGCTGCAGCCACGGCTGTGCCTGCTCCTCCCTGCAGGCAGGGAGCAAGCACAGGCTGAGCCCTAGGAAATAAAGGAGGTTTTTCTGCTGTTCATCTCCGAACAGAGCTATTCCTGTGATTAGCCATAATCAGCCAGGACAGAGAAAGGACTTTGTGTTTTACAGAGGGGCCAATGCCACTGTGCATCCAGACACAGCCCAGACTGCACGCAGCAATGTCCCGCAAGAGATATAGAAAACTGTACTTTATCCCTAAGATCAGTTTTAAAATTCCCTCTAGTGGAGAAAAAGTGGAAATTCAAAATTCATGGCTCTGCTAGCCAGGCAATCCACACCCAAGTTCCCAGTGGCTTGCAGGTCTTGTGCTGCACAGCCCAAGTAGAAAAGGAACAACTGACCGGCTGAAAACTTGTAAATCATTCCATATTATCTTGGTTTGTTAACTTAACAGAACGATATTTTTAAGGACAATTTTGTTTTCTATTAAAAAACTATTGTTATTTTAATTTTTGGAACAAAACAACATGTGAACCTGAAAAATGAAGTATTTTATTTTGCAATGCCAAGGCGGGCAGGTTTGAGTTTTTCAGTTGCGTGGTGACTGTCACAAGTGTTCCTCCCTGGCCACCGCCGTGTCCTCTGCGGCAGCTCTGCGAGCGCACTGGCTGATCAGTGGCAGACAAACCAGGCCGACTTTATTGCCGATGTAAATCAGAGAAGCTCCGCTGGCTTCGTGGAGCACTGCAGATTTATGCCAGGAGCTGACCTGGCATCTCTATTTTCAAAACTAGGGCAGATTGAAATATGCTGTTTTTCAATAATATATTCAGGTTAACAGGGCTTTTATATTTGGGCAATTAATCTTGCATAGACTGAAAACCTCTTGGGACAACGTGCGAAGGTTGCTAAGAAGAAGAAAACAAACACAGTTGTGTAACTCAGCTCTCCCAGGTCTCTTCTTTCATGAAAACATATTGCAGTGATACAACAGTGACCTAAAATCCACTAATAATATTACTTTAATATACAGATGCACATCAAGATACAATATAGAACTGATTTTACTAAGAGGTAATATTACCTCATCTTGTCTTACTGTAAAATGAATCAAAGCAGAAATATTGAGGCATAAATCTATGGTAACAAAGGGAAAACAGTATTGTGCTAGAGAAAGTCCTTCTGGTTTATTGCAAGACTCTTCTGCTCTATAGCATGTGCACAGATGTGTCGGTGTGCCTGCATGTGTGCCCGTGCTGTATCTGAAAGAGGTCTGGGGCTCAGCAAAGGCTCTCCCTGACATGATCCTTGTCTTTCACCACTCCCTCTCGCTGTCTGTTCTGTGCAACCACCAGCAGCCCTACGACCATCTGCCAGCATCTTCAACTCATAAACACCGTAACAGATGCGATTCAGAAGTCCAGACGAGTGAGGTATGCCCTAACTTTGTGTTTCGGAAACAGACACCTGCCCAGGCGATGCCACCTCATCTGCTACGATCCAGCCCACTGTGATCCACTTTGGGCAGATCCGTTACATATCCCATTTTTCCACGTACCTCCATGTCTTTTCCTACCCCTTTCTTTGCTACAAAGCCCAAGTAAGACGGATACATGAATTACAGGTTATTTTTTCCCCCCTTTTTGCATTTCCTCTTCTCCTGGAGTATCACCCCCAACTTCACAGGGTTACCAAAATCCTTGTGATTTAACCCCCAGTTCTTAATTCTTGCAGCCTCTAAAATAACTCGGGAATTCAACCGTTACATTTTGAGCAGCTAAGTAATCAAGTTCTGTGCCCAAGCCCAGGAAAGGAAATGTTACCAGCTAAAACCTGTCGAATTGCTGGCTCTGTGACAAGGCTGCTGAGGCGTCCAGAAGGCAGCACCCACCAGCACCCTGCAGGATGGCTGCTTCAGCACCCAGGCAGTGGCAAAGTGGCCACATGCAGTGCAAAATGCTCTGTTGCAGAACGCAGCCGCCTCGGTGCATGTCAGGAGTTTCCAGTCACAAATAGCAACAGACTCTGAAGGGATGTGCAGGTGGCTACTGCTTGATTAATGTGCGTGGCATCTGTTATTTCAAAGGGGCAATTACAGTATATAAACACGCTACCTCCATAGCACTGTATTGATTTGTGCTGGCTGAAAACCTTTGCGGTTATTTTTTCCTTTCTCCTCCCACAAAAAATAATTTTCTTCTGAGCCCAATAAAAGAGAAGATCTCGTTGGTTCTGTGTCATAACAGTACTACTGCATTCTGCTAGGAACCAGCCATCCTGCATCCGGCCATGAAATTCAGGTAATGACCCATAACCGAAGTAAATTAGTGTTTAATTCCCCATCCCTCGCAGACAGCTTACTAATGGAAATTGATTTCTAGCTTTTTTCTTTTTCATTTAGCATGCTCATGTAATGTCTTTATTTTAAATTCAAGTGGTTCCCAGCGATTTTTAGCCCAAAGGCTGGTGGACAGGCAACCATGGGAAGCATTTCGTTCACGAGCAGTCTGTTGAACATTCCCTGGGGATGGCAGAGGCCCTTGCAGGCACAGTGGGCTCCTTCTGCCCTGCACTCACACCCCTGGATGTCTGCACACTCTGGGCCAGATCCTCAGGTGGAGTAAATCAGTATAGCTCATACCCCTGCACAGAATTCATACTGTTATGCCCTGGATCCCTTACCCAAAGCTGTTGTACAATTAGCACGCTCTTGCATGACATGCTTTGTATGTTTGCATGGGCAATGCACTCCCAGCCAGACCAAAGGGTGCTGTTCTGTCCCATAAAGTCACCCTCTGTCCTACAGGCATGATGCTCATCCTCAAACCAAGCCCAGCGCCTCACTTGTGGCATTGCTGTGGTGTTTGCAGCCAAAAGCTAGGCTTGCCCCCCCCCCCAGCTGCTCACCCACTGCTGAGGATCCTTGTAATTCTTGCTGAATTTGGGCTCTGTGGTGTAATCTGACACAGCCACCAGTGCGCACGCATACACACCCTTTTTTCTGCTGTTTAGGTAAAACTCAGCTGATGTTCCCTTCATTGTATAGAAGCACCAGCACTACAAGCAGAAGCTGGCCTTGGATGTCCAACCCTTTTTCTTTGCGAGGGAGAGAAAGGTGGTAAGAGACGGTAAGTTTTTTTATAGCTCAGACTCCATAATTACACCAACTATGAGGCAAAACAAGATATAAAAACACTATGTTATTTGCAACCTTCAGTTACTTCTGCAACCTCCCAGCTTCAAAAGAATTGGGAAGGGGTAAAAATCTGCTTTACCCAGTTTGCTATGGAAGTACCATGAGAAGAACTGAAACTCAGCTGCTGCTGTTTTACACTTTAAAAGCAGGACTAGCAGCTATTATTTCTCTCAGTGTCTGGTTGATTTTCTGGTCCCACAGACACTTTAATAGTGCTATAAATTGTCTGGTAAGGGAATTGTTAGTTAGAGATAGTGTCTGGCGTATTTGTTCCTTATTGATGTATAAACTGGCTTGTGTGTGTTTCTGAAGACGAACGCTTTGTAGCAGGATGATAATAATAACAATTAGCATAGGCTATAGCAAAGTGTTAATTGTGGATTAGAATCCCAAACAGAGAAGCATATGCAGATCAGTCCTCTCCTTGTGCTCCCTGCTCCTCCGACTGGTGTTCAGAATGCGAGGGATGTTTCTCAGGATGAGGGAATTTTCCGTGCCTCCTTCTCTCTTCTTGCACTGCAAAAACCAAATCTTTCCTGAGTGTATTTGTTCAGGTGCTTTATGTGCTGATGCACTAAACTTCTGTGCTCCTGGAGAATCCTGTGTGTTATTCCTGATGAATGCTAATTTGGCTTAAATTCGTTCATGGATCAAAAGGGAAGGCAAATGCGGAGACAGATGGAGGAGGGACATAAGACTGTCAGGTTCACAGCCTTATTGAGGATAATGACAGGGGAATGAAATGCTAGACTTTACCAGAGCTGTTTTGTGCGGAAGCATAATGTAATTATTAAAATAAATTTCTGTTCCTTCTTTTTATGCAATCTGGCTGTGGTTAGACTGTGAGCAAATTAAGAAACTTATCCTGTGCCTCAGTTTACCTGTTTACAGAGGCAAGAATCCACCTCTTCCTGCTGGAACTGTAGGAGGATTAAACAAGGTTCACTGAGCACTTAAAATCTGCTGTAAGGACATTGCCTTGTTATAGACCTCATTTAAAATAAAAAGCCATGGTGACAAATTAGATGAAGTCAGAATGGACTGGGTTTTCTGGGCATGATCCGTGTCTGGGTTTTCATATTCAGAAGAGCATGCAGAGGAGAGATAACAGCTCTACTGAGATGCGTAGCCTCCGTGAACGTACATTGAAGTTTGTATGCTGTCTGACTTAGGCATTCAGAGGAGGAATGATAAAAGTAACCGCAGTCTTGTCTTCCAAGAATATAACCACCTTAGGTGAACCGTGCCACATATAGATTGTAAGAACCCGGGAAATAAATAACAGTGGGGTGAGGGGTCTTTGGTTAGTAGATCAAGGAGAGAATGTAACCATGACAGAAATAATTATCCCTACTTCCCAAATTGGGCAGAGAGAAGTCAGTAGCAGAGCTGAATGCAATATTAAATACTTATCTTAGCCACTAAAGTGGAACATAGGCAATTAGAGAAAAAGCTTGGAAGATCAAAGTAGGAAAAAATATCCCTTCAAAGTGATAATCAATTATTGTTTTTAACCTACAATAGGCAAAAGACTACTTCAAGCTGCCAAGAAAGGATGTGGGCTTATACTGTTGGTTTTACTGTCCTACCTCATGTTGGAGGTTTCCTTGGCTGGTTCTTTAATCGGAAGGAAATACCTGTTTGGTACGAGAAGCTGAAAAAGCCTTCGTGGTGTCCATCCCGCAAAGTATTTCCTCTTGCTTGGACAGTCCTGTACACTGGCATGGGGTAAGTTCTGCCTACCACTCCCCATCTCGTCCTACTGTCGTCAGTCAATTCAAACTCTCATTTGCTTTTGTGAGACACATTTTCTCTCAGTCAGCAGGGCACATCAGGTATGCTTACTCCCAGATGATGAAGTACAGCCTGAGCCACCTTCTGAGTTGAGTTCCTCAGGTTTGGGCTGCAGGCTGTGCTTTTGGCCGGGGACACAGCCTGCACTTAGCACTGTGACAGGTTACTAAGAACAGCCACTGCCCCAGGGAAATCATACGAGCCACACCAGTATGGCACAGATGATGGGTCTGGGAGCAGGGAGGGCATGGAAGCATTTGTCATGCAAATATAACAAATCCCTACTGCGGGACAATCTTCCCTGAGAAGAGTTCGCCTACATTGTGGGCTCACTCACTTCAGGACAGCAAAACACTAATGTTTCCCTTTTCACAGCTATGCCTCCTACCTGATATGGAATGACCTGGGCGGCTGCAGCAGCAAAGCTGTCATCCCGCTCGGCCTCTACGGGGCTCAGCTGGCCCTGAACTGGGCTTGGCCGCCCTTCTTCTTCGGTGCACGCAACCTGAAGATGGTAATGTATCTGGCCATCCATTCTGCTGTTGGAGGCGTGTTTGCTGGTGTCTCTGCCACGGTTTTGGAGCTTGTTTAGAGGATTTCTACCTAGCATTACACAGCTGTAAAGAGAGCGATAAGAAGAGCTTTTACTCTGATATAATTCATGCTGCACCTGATTGTAGACAATGGTATCAGTCCCTTCCACTCCTTGCCCTGTCTTGTCATTCAGATAGCCAGCCCTACCAGAGCAGGGCGGGAGATCCAAAAGTCAATAGCCCAGCTGCTGCATCTTCTAGATGAGGACTTGGGGGGAGAGATAAGGCCCCCTCACAGTCACACCCTGTCCCAGCAAGCAGCTAAGTTAGCATCTCTGTGGGGGCAGACTAGCTGTGAGCAGCTTACTGAGCAATTATTTTAATAATTGAGCTTACTGATACGATGCAAGGTGCATAGCAGAGCATGTTGGGGGAATATGCATGAAGCTTAGACATAGCATGGCAGAGCTGGACATGTGCTATATCCAAGAAGCATTTATCTCAGGTGCCAAGGCCTGGAGATCAGAGTGGGATGCGTGTTTCCATCTGAACTTTGCCATTCTCTGTGTTAAAGATACATTTAGAAAGTTTACATGATAGTAACCACTGGTACTGACATAAGCATGTTTCTGATCTGTCTGCATAGGCATTATCAGCAGAAGGGGCCAGTGATCATCACAAACAGCATGGTATATTCGTCTGAGGAACATGATAGCAAAAAATTAAAATTGGTCTTTGCTCCTGGTGTGATACATTCAGGTCTCACTCACTTGAGTCCAGGCTTTAGGATCAGCATAGGTGACTTCTCAGTGTTAAATCTTCCTGATTCCTATTCCTTCTCGCCGCCTTTAGTAGGAGTGTTTATAATCTTGCTGTATGTTCCCACGAGTGAGCATCACACTAATTTTCTTCTTTCTGCTCTCCAGGCACTGATTGACATCCTGTGCTTAGACAGCCTGGCGATAGGCATGATGTGCTCCTGGTACCGCATCAACAAGGTAGCGACACTGCTGATGGTGCCCTACCTGGGCTGGCTGGCCATGGCCACTTGTCTCACCCTTCGCATCTGGAAGGACAACCCCGAGCAAAAACCAGGAAAGAGTGAATAAGAGCAGGACAGAAATGAAGGCATTTTGTGAAACCAAACTATGCTGATGTGAACAAAGATCTAGTAATTTGGGGCATCCATTCTGGGACAGGCAGAACATGCCTCCTCCTCCTCCCACCTTCACCATGGCTGTGTAAAACGAAGGTTTGCATCAAACACCTGTGTGCTCCTGTAAAATAACCACACTTCTTTGAGAACTTTTTTCCCACCACTGTTGAGGTTTTGGGGCTACAGCTGTATGATGACCATAATGCTATCAGGTCAAATTCCATTAGCCAAATTAGCATCTCATGATACAAGGGAAATTCAAAGTAGCAGTCCCGGACATCCTTCTGCACCGCTACCATTCCCCCAGAGAGCAGAACTTGTTCACACATGCGGGTAAATCCTATCTCCTCTTCTGGACCAAACAAAAATGCCCTTCACTGATGCACACCAATTTTAAAGGACTTGAGTTTTTGCTATTCTTGCTGTTGCTTCTTTTTCATGTATCACCTGGTTTGTGCTCTATACCATTAGCTTTTTATCAGTCAGACACTCAGAAAGCAGTAATCTGTCTTGCTCTGCTAGTGAAAGGGGACTTGGTACTTTGACTTCTATTTGTGGAGTATTGCACTTGTTGAGTTTCATGCTCCAAGATAAAGCAGCAATGATTAGAATGTAAATGCTTGTCCCAGAGAAAACCTCCTCCACCTTTGTGCACTATTCCTTACCAGAAAAGAAAGACTAATAAAAGTGCCTTTGGGGGGGGGAACACATTAAAATGTTTGTTTTCTTAAGTACAGAAACACAAGAGCTATTTTAAAATTCAAGAACTTGCTCACCCTGTCCTGAGAGTTGTAACTATACGACTGGCAAAAAGTCTCATGCCCAGGCTGTAGGAGGCAGTACAGGTACCTCATCCCAGTCTTTCCACTCCTGAATATTATTCATTGGGAAAGGATAAAATACAAGCATTTCTAGAGAAATAGGACCAAGCCATGAAACAGAATCAGATATGAAATGTGAATGGACTAGCCCTTGTCTATCCTTTATTCTAGCCCTTGCATTTGAGAGATCTGAACGTTAGATGTTGCCATCTAAGAAAATATTTACTTTTTTTTTTTTTTTTTTTTAATCAATAGAAGCAATTTATGTGAAGAAAAGTAGTAAGTGAATCCTCTCTGGCAGCTGATTAGATTAAGGTGTGTGGGTTTACTTGCAAAGGTTTTTGGGTACAGAGGCTTAGATGAGGATGTAAAATAAAAATGTATTTGCTTTCAATAAAACCAAGCCACTTTTGTTTGGGAAAATAAATAAATCCAAGTTACTCTTGTTTTACTGCTTTGGCACTAGTTTTGCAAAAGGGACTCAAGAAATTCAAGGGAATCTGCCTGGAGTCTGTGAGCTGTGCTCGTGAACCAAAGAGAATGGGATAAGCAGCAGGGTTCTGCAGGGCTCCAGCAGCCAGACTCACTCCTCAGTGTGTTTTAGGAGCAAATGGGGTGGGTTTGGAGCCTAAAAGTCCCAAAGGTGCCTTCAGCTGGGGTCCCGCAAAGCAGAGACACTCCCACGCTGCAGGGATGCAGGAGCTGCATCCCTGTAATGGGCTCTTCCATTGTATCTCACCCACACATTCAAGGTAAGGAACCTAATTCTCGCTGGCCCCTTTAAACAGCAGCAGCTCTGGGTTTGGGGTCCTTCCCAAGTCATGTCAAACCTGATTTTCGGAGATGCTGAATGTTCCTGTGTCCAACTCCTGTAAATGGAATAGCTAGGTGCTCAGCATGACTGAAAGCTAAGCCCAAGAGAAACAAATACCAGCAGCTGAGTGCAGATGAAATTTGTGGTGCTTTTTAAAATTTGGCCATATATCTTGTTCTGTCATTTTGATCCCATCCATTATTTTTCCCTTCTAGCTAAAGGACACCTTTATTCAGGACTGCTGCTGCAAGCATATTGCTGTAATCTCCTGAGTAAAAGCTGCATAAGAACAGGCCATTGAATAGATGTGACTGTAAGCAGTAGGACTATAAAGCAGTGAGCACTGCAAGCAGCACCAGGAAAATCATAAGCCACTTTTTTAAACTTAAAAAAAAAAAAAAAATCTTACATATTTCGGGACTTTATATAACCGTGTGTTACCACTCATCTTATTTACAGTGATGCCATGTCTGTGTCTTCCAGAAAGCCACATGCCAAAGGACATGAAGACATAAATTACTGCTTTCTAAAAAGAAACTAATATCTGGCCTGGAGATTCAATTCAGTGGAGTTAAGAATGATTTAGGGCAGCTGAACACCATCATGCCTATCCTTTCCTAGTTAGCACGGGAAAGCCATGGAGAACAGAGATGAGCAGAGCCATCTAGTGAATCCAGGAGGAATAAGGCAGGTCTTTGCAGTGTTCTCCGTGTTTCAAAAGCGGAAGAGTATTATTTAAATCACATCTAAGTCGTTAACTGACTTTCGACCTGGTTCAAACTTGCAATGTTTTTATAACAGTCCCAAATTAAATATATGGATGGATATTTGAACAGCTTTCAGAATTACTCCACTTTTCCCCTCTTCCTATTTTTTTTTCCTGCAGGTAAAGTAAAATCTTGAATTAAAAATAATAGATCTTTATTAACTTTTCATGTTTGTCTTCCCCTTTTTCCCAGTTGGTGTGACTAGCTGACTTCTTGTCTTTATTTCAGTTCTTCTTCCTTCCAGTCCACCTGAAAGCACACTAATAGTTTCTCTTTCCTGCTTGCATTTTCTTGCAGGCAGCAAAAATAGCAAGTGTTCCTATGTGTAATATACATAACAGCTAGCCATCAATTGCAAAGTTAAATTCAGCAAAGCACCCTCTTGTATTAATATTTAAAGCACCATTTAACGTATCTGCAATTTAAGCAGCTATACTGAAACCCTTTGCATAAAAATAGTTAATGATGTTCCAAAGTCAGCCATCTAGAAGATTTCTTATTTATATTGTGCAGTGCAGAGCAGACCCAGACCCTGCCCTTGTGGGTTTCGTGTCAGTGCAACCTAATGGGGCTCATCCTAATTTGTCCCCAGGAAAGCCCAGAGAGAGCATGGAGAAGTTTTGCTTATGCCACCATAAAGCAGGCGGCTGGCAGGCTGGATCCGTATCACCTTAGCAGGCACACAAGGTGTTTGTCCAGCCCCCCTAAATTAGCTTTGGGAATGGATACCATATCCTGCCCCAGTGTCAGGGAACATTCATAACCCACGGCAGGACATGTCGTGGTCTACATGATTCAAGCGGTGACTCAGACAAAGGCCGTGCATTCATGACAGTTTTCACAGGGTCGTGGCATTTATAGAAGAGCCACCTCTCAGATCACCATGTCTAATGATGATCCCTCTCTTCAGGCCTCAGACAGTCTTTCCAGAAAGCTGTATTTGATATTAAACTGACTGTACACTTGATCTTAGCCCAAAAGGCACATCCCCTGCTTGCTGGATACATGGTATTTGTGCATAAAACAAAATCTTTCTGCCTTTCAGCCCAGCCGCTTTCTCTAACCCTTGTCTCATTCAATAATTTACCAGCTGTTCCAGAAAATACTCCAGCTTCGGTAGTAAGGAACTTTAATTGACGTGCTGGTGTCTGCAGCTATGTTAAAATATAGTCAAGTGCTGGAGAGGATGTGCTACTGTGTGTGCGTAAACTTTAAAGAGCTGACTCGTTAGCACTGAGTGGTGCTGAGCATCAACTCCTGGGGCTTTGAGCACCTGCAGCATGGCTGGGGCTGACCTTCCTCTTGAACTGCTCCCTGGAAAACTGCAGCAGACTCCCAGCAGGAAGGAGGATGTGCCGCTTGGAGCTGCCATTACCTTCCAGTTGGACTTTGAATTAATCGGACAGCCAGCAGTGCCTGCCAACAAAGCAGACTCCTTCCCAGCTCCACGGTTGTGTAGTAACGGGTGTGCAAGTGTTGGGATCAAAGGCCAAGGACAACCAGGTTTCAAGTGTGAAGATAAGGAAGGCAAGGAGGCAAGAGCATCGCTTATCTCTGCATGCATCATGGCTCGTTTCAGCCCTGGTGTAGTTCTTTTCACGGGGAACTCATGTCCTGTACAGGGGGACGTGGGCCCTGGCTGGGCTGGGCTGAACCCTGTGGGATTCTGCAGCAGCTGCCACCAGTGTTTCCCTACCCCTTCCCCTAAACCTTGGCAGTATTGTCCTGCAGTGCAGTGAAAGGGACAGGTGAGGGCCTCCAGGGGCTGAGGGAAGGAAAGCTGCCTCTGCACATCACTGTCAGAGTGTTTATTTATTTATCAAGTAACGGTAGTTACAGCCGGAAAAAGCAGGAGGGGGATTGCTGCCAGACAATGTATCTAGGGAGATGTTTTGTTACTGCCACCAGCTGTCCCTTTGGAATAGAGAGCACTTCTGAGCCATGACTCATACAGCCAGTGTCTTATTACACTCTCCCATTTAGCCAAAAATGTTCCTTCAGCCCAAGAATGCAATAAAAGCTTCCTTTTCCTGGCAAGGACTTTCACAGTCAGGTGATCAGCAAAGGAGAAGAAGCATTTTAACTTCAGGAAAGGAACTTCTGCTGTAATTAGAGGACCAGCAGATAACCTGCCTGAGAGGTCAAGGGAATACTCCTTTAAGACAAGAAAAAGTCATCAGATTATTTCAAGATACTGTAAAGTCAGTGGAAAAACTCGTCTGGACTTGGACAGATGCACAATCAGATCTTAACATGCAAGACAGCAGCAAAGCCAGAATCAAATCTCCCAGAAGAGGCTGACACCTCAGCCTTCCCTTGCTAGCAGTCCCCTCTGCTGGCAGCTTTCCCACTGCAGACAGCTCTTCAAGTCTTACTGCGGATTTGGTGACTTTGAGGTCTACTCCTTTCCGTACTCCATCTAGCTCTGCTCAGGCATTCTGGCCTCAACGCCCCAAAAGGGTAAACGCAGAACCTTTAAAATACAGGGGGGGGGGCAGACTGCCAGATGCTGCGGGACAGATCTGCCACAGGATGGAGAATGGGCTTGGGCAGGAAAACACAGCTTGGGTTTGTGCCCCTGAGAGGGAAGCAGCTGAATGGCCGATCTTGTGTCTGCAGTGCAGGGCTGTCGGAGGTTTCCCCAGACATGAAGTGCAGCTGCTGAAGGGGATTTGTTTAAGTGGGAAGAGTCCTCACCTACCGGCTGCATCCAGCTGCTAGGCTGCAGGGCAGTGCTGGAGACGAGCAGGATTTAGCCCTTGCTGCAGAGGAGTGAATGAGGAGAGGCAGTGGGCTGATTCTTGTGTGAGACCTGACACGTGCAGATCTCGTGTACCTCTTCCGTGATCGAACAGTGATTCCACTGTGCAGGGCTCTCAGAGAAACACAGAATTCATAGGCAACTAAATAAAACATTATATCAATGAGGAGAGGGGCAGTGTGGAAGGAAGCCCGGGTAAAAATTCTGGTTGGAAGCACCATGATTTTAGTTACCCTAAGTGCCATGGGGAGATCCTTGCGTGAGGGTAACTGCGTCCCTTCCCCAGCTCCTTCTCTGAAATAGCTACTGGGAAAAACATTTCCATCACTGACTTGTGTCATTAGGCCGATGCACGCACGCTCTCGTACACACGCACACTCCGGGGGAACTCGGGTCATTTAAAAACAACTGAACAGAACTGATCAAAGCTTTCATTCCTAAGGCTCTAATGCAAAATGTCAGATTGACAGCAACTCGGTGGTGTCGCCTTATATTTTTGGCACAGGCAGACGCTGTAGGGGGGGGGGGATCATGCACTGCCCTAGATGGAGCTGCGAAGCAGCTGGGGAAGGGCTGGACAGAGGTAGAGTCTCCGTGCCACATTCCGGAGATTAGATAGAAGCTTAGGCCTGAACTCCACAGAAGGGCCAGGCCAGTGAAAGCTAAAGGCTGTAGGAAAAAATGGGACCCTAACAGTCGCGAGCTTCCAAAAATAAAGAAAAGTGGGTCAGAGGGACTGGAAAGGGGCTGGAGTGCATTTTCAAAATACAGGGGGGAGAAGGAGACAAGCTGTCACTCATTAAGAGAGGATCCCCTTCCCCAAAAACACTGCCTGAAATGTCAAAGGTGAGAGTAATTGGACAAGGGAGTTGGAATTTGAACATAGTTACCAGGCAAGAGGAAAAACACTACACCTGCTCTCCAGGAAAGTATTTTAAGCTTAAAAATAAATAAAACCTTGCACCATGAAAACGAAAGATGTATGTTCTGCAGATAGGATGTCTTGGAACTTGTCAAATCCTTCATAGTGCCGTTGTCACAATACTCTCTGTGCCAGCTATGCCAGTCATCAAATAAACAACTTTCTCATCACTAGCAAACAGAGTGGGAGTAAAAGGGTGGGTGGTGTGCCCTGTCCCCAGAGTGCATCTCAACGATGCTACTAATGATGAACTACAAAGGGTATTGTGATTCTCACAGAAGTGCGGAAAGGCAGGCTGCTGTTAGCAAGGGGCTTGAAAAAGTAGTCAGAAGGCAAATTATCTGCCTAATGGCATAAATTCATTTCACTTTAGTGAGAGTGCAGAACCCTTAGGAGTTGCCTCCAATGGTATTGTAAAGACTGCATTTTGGCTGAAAGCAGGTACTCATGCTTGATTTCTGCAAAGAGCAAGCCATCTTTAAATCAAACAGCAGGTTTCCCACTAAGTACAGACTGAACACTCAAATATAGCTTAATATTGCATATTTATCCAAGTCTTGATGGTGGGTTCTGAGCTAAATCCAGAACCCAGGATCCTGGAGGTTTGATTTCAAATAAGCTTTGGCTAAATCTTGAGTTCTGCACAACTACGCACTTTCTATTTACTTCCAGTCTCGTGTCATGGCAGGATTAGTCTCTGAGAAAAATCATACTGAGGTTTTCATCAGGCTTGGCTCATATGGGATTTATACAACCCTTAAGTGAATTAAATTGTGAGAAATTGGAAGAATTTCATATAATTCTGAATTTAAAAGAGACAATCCTCCCAAACCAAACATATAAAACCGTTTTCAGAGCTCATGTGAATCTTAGATTAACCCTGAGTATCCTTCTGAGCTACTGCAGCCTCTTCAAAAAAAAATCTGCTTGATATAGTGCCAAGCAGACCAAACATCCCCAACTTTTGATAATATATAGTCCTTATAGTCCTTCTCATTTCTTTGTATGAAAGACAGATTCCACCCCCACACGAGGTCAGACAAATCACCTTACCCGAATGTCTCCAGTACTCTGTTCTTAACACACCGTTCACACCAGGCCCAAACATTACTGCACGACCTCCAGGTCCTCACACAGACACAATTCACTTCTCATCACACCTCCGCAGCCTCCTGTCCTTCTGATTCTTTGGCTCCTGTGCAATCACTCATCGAACACCTGCAACCACTGCAGCAGCAAAGAGGAAAGAAACAAAAGAATACTGCAGGAATCACTAAGCCCATCAATTTTTCAAGTCCTTACTCTTAGCTATGTTATCACACCCAGTGCAGTGGGCATTTCTCAAACATTCAGGCAGGGATGAGAAAAAATAACAGAACAATGTGCAGATGTTCAGCTCCTGCAAAAGAAATACTGTCCCGCTGTGAATTATAAGCCTGACTTCAGGATATTTAGGATAAAGTCTGGTTAGCATTTATGCTGATGCGATCTGTAACACCAATTTCCACAAGCCCAAGGATTTCATCCTGTTCAGCTCCTGTTTTCTGTGTCCTTCCGTGGAAGAGAAGGGTGGAAGGAAAGAACTCCTGCTCCTCTAGACACCCCTGCTGTGACTCTCCAGGTGGCTCATGAGGCTGAATCCACGACAATGGGGATTTTTCAGCAAATCAAATGTGGGCCACCCCTTTCCCCTCTTGCCTGAGCCAAAACAGTGGTTCTTCAAGGTTAGTAAAATAATAAGCTGGCAGATGAAGGCAGACGGAGACCCTGCCAGCTCTGCACCTTGCCAGCTATCTGTCATGCTAATGGATAAACAGACACTGATGCTTCCATGATTTTCCATCCATTGCTTAGCCCGCCCACAACGAAGTCGTCACTTAATTTTAAATTAAAAAGGAAGCACGAGGGATTGATAAAAAGGCCTAGTGAAAGCTAGGGAAGGAGACGACATCTGAGAGCCCTGGGTCACCCTACCCCATCCAGCCTCTGTCGTTGCTGCTTTGTTCCATATTTAGCCCCTGACAACTGTGTGTAGTGCAGGAACTCCCAGCTCTGTTTTTTTCCCTCCCCCCTCTGCTGTCTCTGCTCCCTGAGAGCTTTCAGAAATTGCTTTATTTTTCCCCGTGGCCTTAACTTACTGTCCCTATACCCAAGAAGATGGCAGAAAAGCAGGAGGAGCCCAGCAACGCCCAGAACGGTGAACCTGACAACGCGGAAGAGGGCGAGGGAAAAAAGAAGAAGAAGGTGAAGCGGGAAGACCTGCCACCCTTTGAAATTGTGACGGGGTAAGAGGTTTAGCTATAAAGAGGGTGCAAAAGACTGAAACTTTTTGGCAGGGATCTTCAAAGGTCCCTGCCTCAGCTGTGGTGCTGGGTAATTAAAGGTGGTACCTTAAGCCAGTGCACTTCTGAGTAGTCTTAAATGGTTTAAGTACGGCTTTCGTTGTGGGATTTTGTTAAAAGTTTCAGTGCATTTTACAGGGGATGAATTCACCCCAAGCAGGCAGGCAGCCAAATCCATTTGTTTTCATACAAGCAGGTCTGTTTCCACAGTACTCACCAATTCCCTCATAGTGCACTGCAATGGGGTGACTTGCCTGACAATGAAGGGATGGAAGGTATGGGTCCTTGATGAATGCTGAATATTGATTTCTTGGTGTGATCAGTGGCTCTTGTCTGAAAGTTTCTCTGTCTGTGGATTAGGAAAAATACTCCTGCTATGGCTGATTTACTTTATGGACCTAAGGGACAGTTTTTTCAAGAGAGTCAAAAGTCCACATTTTCAAGGGCTCCACACCCACAGCTGGAACCTGACTTTCAAAAAGCCAAACTCACAGAAGGGCACCAAAACAATAGGCAGTTTTCAAGACTGCAAAGCAGCAAGCAGCTCCTTTTGTTCCAGGGAGCCTGGCCTTTGAAAGAGGCAGATATAACAGAGATCTGCTAGGAAGCTGAACTCTGTCAGATGTAATTGACAGCTGCAAGTAGAAAAAACTGTGTAATCTGCTATCTCTAAGCATTTCAAAATGCTCGTTGTAGTAGTATCAAGATGCCCTATGTAGCTCTTCCCTCTAGACTCCCTCAGAAGTCACCAAGGCAGTGCTCCCAGCATATAACCCAAAACCACGATTTCTTCCAGCTGCTGGTATGCAAACCTCAGGCCAGACTCTAAAATCCCACTTGGAATCTTTCTGTTTGTGACAGGGCTACTGGTAAGAAAAGCTCCACAAATAAAATTTGGTTGGCATTTCTGAAAAGCATGCATGAGTTTTCATCTCACACAATTGGGTTATGTTCCTGTATGGGGGTGAAAAAACAATTTTCTTCTTAAAAAAGCGTATGTTCTGAAAATCACTTCTTGTGGTGGGGCTGTTCACAGCCTTTAGTCTCTGTCGTGCACAATCATGCAAATAATACATCTGCTAGAACATGGACAGAAAAGCACTTTCCTCTGCTATGAACTGAGCCCGGACTAATGACAAATGTGGTGACGACTCCTAAATGCATAGAACATGTACTAAATGAATCTCATCAGGAAATTATGTTTTTTCAGCCATAGAGCACTCAACTTGCAATTAGGACTGCCAAGGAATTGGGCAGTATCTTCAAACTTCCTTGCTAACCCCAACAACCTGGGTAGGAACCGGTGTGCTAACTGTGGCTGGAAAAATAATAATAATAATAATAATAAAAAACCTTTCATAGTGCTATGTTGCAATGAAAAGATTTGTTGGAATTACAATGCTGTTACACATTTTGGCAGGACTTTCTACACTTAAAAGGCAGAAGCAGGAATGTGAGGGGTGATGTGTCTGCAGAAAGAAAGGGTTAACAATAGGAAAGCAAATTCCTGAGGTTTAGGAGGCAGCCACACTGCTGGAACCTTACCAGGGCACAAGGACTAGGGCAAGATCCCCAGGTGACACAAGGCAGTCTCAGGTAAGGCTTTTCTAGGAATGAGTTAAAGTCTGTGCTGTGGCATCTACGTATGTTAAGCTGTGAAAATCAGCTAGTACCATTTCATACGCTGATACCAAGCAAGGCAAGAATTTAAGTTTCCAAAATGAAAGTACTCGCACGTTTGGTGAGGGACCCTAGAGCTGTCAGTATGTGATTATTTGTTCTGTGATCATTGTAACACTATTTGGAAAGTGTTTAGAAAAATCTGGTGAATTCCTGCAGGACTCATGACCAAGTATCCCCTGATAATTAGCTTATTATCGGTATGCTGGCTATTAAAGGTGAGAATGAGGAAGTAAAGCAGAAATCCCAAAAGGCCCTGAAAGAGATACAGAAAAAGCCAGCAATTTCTACTTTCATTTTAAGGACCCCGTCAGTACAGGCTGTGCCTCAACCTGGTTTGATCACTGTTTGGATTTTCTAATTATTTAGGAATTTTCAGCCAATAAAGACAGTTATGTGAATTATGAGAAAACACATAACTGCAACTGTGCAAGCACTTAAATTCAATTACACTGTCTACTACTCAAGCATTTCAGTTTTAGCCCTTGGATTAGGGGCATCTTGTGACACACAGCCAAGTTTTCAAGCTGAGGCTTACAGCCGAGGCTGGCTTACATGAAAAAAGCTGGGAACCTAATCACTCTGTTTAAGAACATTAAGCCCCCCCGTGCTTTTTGTCAACACAGCCCTGGATAAATATAAGCCCCTGCTGTGTACGTTTCATGACATTTAAGGAGACACATTTATTTACACTTTACCCAGGGTGTAAATGAGGTTCCTCCTAGCAGTGATAAACCCTTGGTTTCTCCTAGAGCTGATCATTAGACTTTCTATAATCAATGAGCCCAGCATGAGTATGTTTATTTGTGAACAGTTGTTGAAGAGCAAGCAAAAGGACACTGTTTTATAGGCTCCAGGATCTTAAGACCAAGTATAAATACTCACCAAAAAACATGTAAATGTAAAGAATATGTCCTACTAGTTTACTGCGGTTTTTAGACAATCCCACATTTTTATTCTCTCATTCTCTTCTCCTACCTGCCATGCAATGGCACAGGGCATTGTGACCATGCTGGGCAGCTGCTGCATTCCTCCAGTCTACCTTATTTCAAGGTACTTAAATACGCATTACAGATTGAGGTTCTTGCCTCAAAGTTTCAATATTTTCATATTAATGTGATCTAACAGATCACAAAACAGCCTTTCTACTACCCAGGACAAGCACTTGGATAAATTAGGCTTGAGATGGTTAGAAAACCCCTAAAGAGCACCATTTAATGACCTCCACAGAAGCAGGAAAAATAATATTTCAGCTTTTACCTTCCCATATACCACAAGTGAGCTGTGACCACCTGCACCTTATCATTAGAACAGATGATTTTTAGGAGCACTCCAACAGTGTGGTGCCTGTAAATAATTTAAAGGAACCTTCCATATACATAAACCTCATGTGCAAGTCCTAAAACAAATATGATGCCAGTAAGGAGAGCGAAATGGCAACAAAACATCTTCTCTAACTGAAAAAAAAAAAAAAAAAAAAAAGGCAGAAAAGCAATTAGCCTAGTTACTGAAATCGGTGGTATTCGTGCATTTTAATAAGATTATACAGCTACATGCAAGACAACACAATTTTTATGTTTGGCGTCTATAGCAGCGCAGCTTCCAGCATAAGAAATACAAGAACTGACTTGCATCTCCTTGTTATATTTTGTTGGCATTCCCTTTTTCTAAGGTTAGGGAAAAAAAAAAAAAAAAAAAAAGTAAAAAAGGGTAAAATAAGGATAATATTAACATTCATAAGCCACCTGCCATTCAATCATGGGAAAACAGGCTTGCCAAGAACTAGTGATTTACTCAGGAATAGAAAGAAAGCAATTCAAAACTAGATCTCAGTTTCCAAAGAAGCAGGCTTTGTTTTTCATAGCAGATGACACAGCTATTTCAGGGATGTATTTTGATTTGCAATTGCTTGTAAAGTGTCTTAAGCTACCCAAGCAAACACCACGATACTTCATTTTGCAGTCAGTTATTAGGGTCATCTGCCAGGCACTCTGTAACTCCAAGGAGAGATTATGCAGCACACAGCATCCAAACACATCTCCAATCTTACAGCACACATGGTTCCTTCTTTCCCATTCTTTCACTGCTGCATCACTTGCTGTGGGGCTTTCCTGTTACGCAGAGACACCAGCCTCGAGTCCCCACTGCTAGGAAGAGTCACGTAGCAAGGACGCAGCTAAGCCCAGCCAGGGCTCATGTTTACCATTCACACTTGTGCCAAAATGTCCTCCCTTGTCTGGTTTAGATGGGATTAAGGAGATTCTTGCTAACTAGCAAACAGTTTATTGGTTGATTCTGTATCCATGATCAACAAGTTTTCCAAGCTGTCAGCCAATTACTTAGACTTGAAAAATGTCCTTGGCTTTGTTTGAGTTCTTTATCAGAAACTTACTAATTAAATTGATGCATATTCCATGCTGCTAGGAGAACAGATTGAGGTGAACATTGCAGATAATCTTAGACACCTAGCCGATAAGCAAAAAGTTTGTCTAGAAAGCCCAGCTAAAGCCAGCAGTGAGTGAATACATCCTGGAGCAGTCCACTGTTGTTTAAGCTGTTCATCAAAACATACTGACTTAATTTCATCACTGATGTCACCGCTTTGCAGTCAAGAGACTTAAATCAGGAATGAACTCCCGTGTGACTCTGATGCGATACATTTAGGTATATGATGTTATTTTAAAACAACTTACTGCAGCCTCACAAACCTATCTTTGAAACAAGGCAATGGGTAGCTTGTTGGTCACACTCAATTGGACTTTCAAAAATATCTTTAAAAAATAATTAAATCATTAACTGAAGAATCATTAATTATCTAGGATATAAAGCAGGAAAAGTGCTACTCTCCAAAGGATGTACTTTTTTTTTAATAGCCTCAAAGAACAAGACAAAAGGAGTTCAGGGAATAAGAGGCGCTATGCTGAATTAGAGTCTGGTAACGCTGTTAATGAAATCAATGGAAGCCTTGCAATTCATCCTAAAGAAAATGCGACTAGCTCTAGTAGGTAAGTCGTATGAAGTAAGGGAACAGATGGAAAACACTAAGAAATTGAAGTTAAAGCAGTCTTTCTGGGTAGTTTAGAAGCTCTGCATAGTAGTGCAAACTTCCCTTACGTAGGCCTGTGGAAACTCTCAATGCAAGCCAGAGAACCACAAACCAAATCACACCAGAACAGAATGATTATTTGCTTATTAATAAAAATAAAAGCCTAAAACAGTAACAGCATGGAAAGGTCCCAAACAGGCTTTTCTATTGTTTAAGTCCCATCTTGTATAGAACTGATTGAAGCAGAACTGAACAGTGTAAGCACTTAATACAGTTAAAAAAGCAGCTGAAAACCTGCTTCTAGTAATATTTTTTTCAAGTCAGACTTGTACTCTGAACTTGCAATGTTATGAATCAACTAAATGCAAAAGGAATTGTGGTGTTCCTTGACTGACAGCAACAGTAGATATTCCCAGCATAGCTGCAACGCTCTGAACTAAATCATTTTGACTCATACATCTTGTTACATTTTGAAGACTAATGATCTTCTTCTCTCCGTACAGAGCACAACTGCCAACCTAACCACAGCAACTCTCGCGCTATCTGGCTGGTATAGCACACTGGTATTCCAAGTGAAGTTGTTCATCTGTAAAATCGTGCTGTGGGGAAATCCAAACCAGAAGTGTGAACTGTAACTCCAGGCCTTTTACTGCCAATGTGCGTAGCAGGCCCAAATGCACCCTAGATACTACTGTGGTATCATAAAAAATTAAATAGGGAGGCTGTTCTTTTATGGTTTAACTTTCTCAAAAGCCAAAAAAGCCAGAGGACTTTGGCAGCAAGAATCTCTGGCTGCGACAAGTATGGATATATACATACCAGTGAAGTTTTGAAACTCTGTTAAGTGGAATTAAACATTTATGGAAGAATGCATTTAGATGTTTAGAGCAGCACAGCTAAAGCAGCTTGATGATAGCTATAATTTACTCAAAGTTATGTTTTTAGATACCACACTATTTCTAATCCTTTTCTATGCAAAAATCCATTTGCTTTCAGTACGTACTGCAGCATTTGCAGCCAGGTATTACATGAACTCCTCAATGCCTGGTCCCCACACTGGTCTTTCTGTTGAGCCATTCCCATTCCAATCACCCTGATTTGGGGAACACCATGCTGTTTCGGGTGTTTCATACAGTCCTATCCTTACACCCTGTAGAAGTGTAGCCTTATCCATTACACTCTACAGGAAGACATCCACTGATTTTATAGGGCATCAGATTCAGCCCTTCACAGGCAGTCCTGATTCCTGACCTGCAACCACCCCCGACTTTCACTGTGGTGCAAAGCAGGGTTTACACCAGCAAGCTGACAGTGCAGTCCCTCTGATCCCACAGGACTAGGGGAGCACAGCATACTGATCTCGAGTCTATTCACTCTTTCCCATACCATTTGTTTCCATCATCTCTGGAGAAACCTTGTATGATGCTGCATCACAAATTCTTTCCCCTCAGCAGAACGACACTTTGCCACCTACTCCTGCAGCTTCGTTGCTCTCCCCAGTTAAAACTTCCAGGAGTCTCAGAATGTCTCTTGACCTTCATCTGCTGTACATCCTGGAGAGGTTTGACATTATAATCTGACTGGAGATGAGATGGGGAAGATTAACACTATCACTATTTTACAAAGATTCATTAGAGCTTCAGTGGGAATATCAAGGTTATAGGTCCACCTAAAGCTCAGATGAGAAGATTACAACATCCTGGAAGATTATTAGCATGCAATAAATGAAATGTTGTGTTACTACTTCTCATTATTTCGCTTTGGTTACTTTGCAGTCTTCACTCCCATCCTTTGTAGCATTTAGCAGGTCGCAAGGCACGTTGTCAGCATCTTTTCATCTCACATCCTTCGAGCACTGGTTCTTGTACTGATGTACTCCAGTTTGATGCTCCAGGGGACAATCACGAAAAGCTGGTACTCCATTAGAAATAAACAGGTACTTGGAGATGATGCAGCTTTCTTTTTTCACCTCTTCAATCAGTAGTACATAAAAGCATACACAGTATTTTAAGGAGCTACTTTCAACTTCCCTACATACACGTAACAGCAGACTACCCTGCTTGGGTGAAGGAACTGGAAACACATCTCGCTGTGATAGTTCACTTTGAATTATGACAGTTTAGAAACCCAAAAGGAAAAAGGCGCACAACAAATTAAAAAGAAGTGACTGAAGTTTATCAGTAGCTGCCTCATGGATACTATCAAACTTCAGTGGGAAAAACACTCCTTCAGAGCAAAATCACGCTTGATCTTAGAAACTCACATTTAGCTAAAGCCACAAAATAATCCTACTGAATATTAGCACTCAACTGGTTCTGGAAGAATAAAACCAGAACACGTATGAACTGCAGCTAGTCAGTCACACGTGCCTTTACTCAAAGGAAATTCAGACTGCAGAAGCACTGAGGGTAAAACATTAATTAGTAATGCCAGAGCTACCTGAACAATTAGGGCAACAGATCTCGCAGATTAACATTGCAGAAACATACTGACAGAAGAGTACAAATGGCCCAGAGTACAGTAAATTTTGTAGTCTCAAGAAATGTATTTAAGCAGCAACTAGTTCTTCAAGTACCTCTATGCAGACAGCAGCAAAGCACAGCCCAAGTTTGTCAAAATTCAGAGAAAAAGACTGGGTGTTCGGAATAGGTCTGAAAGCCTTACCAGTAAAAGGAGCTGACCAACCAGTTGGTTTTAATGTGTTTTTGTCCTTTCCAAGGAAACGTCTCCTTTCAACACATGGCAAAAGACAGCCATGATAGATTGAACTGGACCAAGACCACACAGGAACTAAGCCAATGCTATAACCCTTTATTATCTGCCTCTGAGATGCTTCTCTCCTCTCCACTTTCTACAGGGAGCGCCTCCCAGCCATATTTTTCAAATTCCAGTTCAGGAACGTGGAATACAGCTCAGGCAGGAACAAAACCTTCCTGTGTTACGTTATCGAGACCCAAGGCAAAGAGTCAGTGACTTCTCGGGGCTACCTGGAAGATGAGCACGCAGCTGCCCATGCAGAAATTGCTTTCTTTAACACAATTTTGCCCAAGTGTGAATCAAGTCTCCGCTACAACGTCACCTGGTACGTCTCCTCCAGTCCCTGCGTGACCTGTGCTGATCGGATAACCGAGACCCTAAAGAAGAACAAGAACCTGCGCCTGACGATCATGGTAGGGCGCCTCTTCATGTGGGAAGAGCCAGAAATGCAGGCTGCTCTGAAAAAAATGAAGTCAGCTGGCTGCAAGCTGAGGATTATGAAGCCGCAAGACTTTGAGTATGTCTGGCAGAACTTTGTGGAACAGGAGGAAGGAGAGGAAGCAAAGGCTTTCGTGCCATGGGAGGACATTCAAGAGAACTTCCAGTATTATGAGGAAAAGCTGGCTGAGATTCTGCACTGAAGCTCACGTGAGTGAGGATTTCCATTTGCTCACCTAGCTCCTTACGTTAATATTAAATTCCTCTTTTTCTTCAGGTTGTTCAAGGCATAACAGAGTAATTTCCAATTACTGTTACTCCCATATGTACCCAGCTATGCTTGTCAGTACCAAAATACTGAGAATTCTCATAGGCAGTACCTTCCCCCCTTCAAAGGTATTAACGATACAATTGGCTTCTTCACAGCAGAAGCTTCAGGGATTGAAAGCTTGTTTCTCCCCTCAGAGTAAACACCTCCAGAAAAAAAAAAAAAAAAAAATTTAAAAGGTAGGGTCACTAGACACAATAAAAATACCCGTTTCCTGCAGGCATGATACTCAAATGCATGTGAAAGCACAAGAGAAACATACAAAAAAAATAGAATTTCCTCCGCCCCCAAACTCTAGCGCTCTGGAACAAAAACCGAAACAAAAATTATACACAAGGAAGTCAGTTATCATTACAATTCCTTTTTTAAGGGATAGTATCATCTTGGAGTCACCTATTTAAGTAGTGAAACACAAAAGCATGTGAAGCTTCTAACACACCTCTCTCTTCTTCACAGGACCAATTCAGAAAAGATCTGCGAAAAGAGATGTGGCAGACTTGACATCTAGCACGCTCCTGCTTTCCAAAGCTTTGACTCCAGCAGACGCAGTACTAACTCCTGCAAGATTAGGCTCTGATGGACTACCAATACATGTACAACACCTCTGGTGTCTGGGATTTTCTGGTTTATTTTTTGTTCTTCTGCACTCAACCTTCCCTCTCCCCCCTCCTGAAACAAACCTGTGCTGCCTCTGCTGTAAGAAAAGGCAACGAACTGCATGGTTAAAGCCTTGAACAAAATGGATCGCAGTGGATCAACAGGACAAGGGTGTAGGCCTCGCATACCAGGACTACTTTAGGAGAAGAGATCATAGAACAAAGCTGCTGATTAGATAAACGTATCTAGAAAGAATATACTTCATAAATATTAAGAAAGAAAGGGAGTTAGGATGAATAAAAAAAATTATTCTTTGTCCTTCTCAATAATAGTAACTGTGATTTAAATTAGGGTTAACTCATCAATTGTACCATTATGATGGAGCCAACAGTACTTGATTTAAAATGCATCAAATACCTTTTTCCCCTTGTTCCATGATGTCTGTGATATAAAACTGGGAAAAGGAAAGTGAAATAAAATTGGAAGCCATTGAAAAGAAGTAAAGCATTGTCATTCCTTCTCTATTTCAAAGAGGCCCTAAAATTAATCTGGCAAGTGAGACATCCTGGGACAGCCCCATGTGAAATATTTCCTTCCAAAGTGCAACACGATGAAAAGGGAGCGTTACTAGGTGCCAAAAAGTTTCATGAGTACGTGCAAACATGGAGACACAGAGGGAAATGGAAAGCACAGTCCTCCTATGTAAAACAAAGCTCAGACCAAAGGTCACGGGGAAGCTCATCAGCTAGAAAACCGAGTCAGACAGGGGTTGTTCTTCCAATTACTTTTTGATGTTGGTTGCTGCAGTCACAGGCTGGAATGGTGCTACACCCACACACACCCTGACTGCAGAAGTCTCTTCACTAAACTGCACTCAATTCTGGCACAAACTTTCCAGGCAACAAAAACAAGCAGCAGTGAGAACACCTTTGTGCAGCCACTGTGGATTTCATGTCTTTGCCACTGGCTCTAAGAAACAAACATAAATAAGCACAGGAACTAAATCAATGAACAGTCCTGATGTTCACTCATGATCAGCTCAATACTCCCAGTTCCTATTTGCTTTACTCAGTTTATTTCTCTGAGTTGTGGATTTAGCTATAGCGAAAAAATAAGTTCACAAAAAAAAAAAAGATAGTCAACAGAGAGGAACAGTATGAAGCTCTTACAGAGAAACAGAATTTGCAGGTCTGCATAAATAACGAAAACATACAATAGATTCATCCATAACACACAAAACAGAAAAGGCTCCGTACGTTTAATAGGTCATAAAAAGTAACTAGGAACCCTATTTTACAACAACAAAATCTTGACTGTCTCATCTATTAGTTTTATTCAACATATCTTGCATTTTCACAAGCATTCAGTATGACAGAAGTCAAAACATTTGGTATTACAGGACAGTGGGGAAAAAAAGAAACAAAGGAAATGCTGAGAGTGGGTTAGTTCTTCAGCACTGGAAGCAAATTTTCCAAACTCCAGTGTACAGCATCGGTCTAATACACTGATTTGTGATTATCTGGTGACAACAAACACCAAACCATACACAACAGCTCAACCACAAAAGCAGTTAAAAAAAAAAAAAAGGCAAAAAGCAAACCTTGCCTTCCACACCATTTTTTTTTTTTTTTTTACAGCCCATCAGTCGTTCATATGCGAAGACTCAAAAAACTGAGTTCTTCATGCCATATGAGTCATATCACACAAAATACACCAACTAGGTGTCTTTACAAGTCTCCAGGATCCCCTTTCAAAACCTTTTTCTTCCAGTTGTGTACAGCCAAAACGTATACACATGGATGTTCTTTGCAACGACTGTGCTCTGATCTGACAGCAGAGCACTGCGGAAACATTTGCTTCACGTTGACAGCACAATTCTCCTTGGCACAGTCTCATAACAAAAATACTTGCTTCCAAAAGATAAAAATTTTCAATCTTATATAGAGTAATTATACTTTATGTGAACACAGCAAAACTTTAAAAAAATAGAAATGGCAGGGCTCCACAGCTCATCCTGATGAACCAGAACAAATCAACTAATAAGCAGCAGCAGGCAGCTCCAATTTCACTCTGCACAGGAACTGGCTGCTTTCAACAGAGGCTCCAGTGCACAGCCAGGTGCTCTGCGGAGGACCAGTGACATCTGGTGGCTTCGTGGGACATGCCAGAAACTCCCTGAGGGTTCAACACAGCCTCCCTAAACACAGCATCCTAAATGAGCTGCTCTGGGACTTCTGCTCTTTTTGTTTTCCTATTAAGCCACTGCCAACACAGGAGTGAGCTATACTCAGAAGAATGTGCTCAGCATGCAGTTTCCCCCTCTCATCAAGTTAAGAAGTTGCCATTCTTGAAAGCAAGGGAAACGAGGCCATCTTTGAACTCTTCTGCTCACAGAGTGTAAACGGTAATCTTTATATCTGTGTCTTCAAACACTTCCCCAAGTATTGCTGAAACTTTATCCCAATCCAAGCGGTCAAGTCCACACCCGATCCTGGAAAATAAGACACCAAAACAACTGTAATGAGCTCTTTTGGAGCATGCTATGAACAACTAGCCCTTCAGGCAGCTACAATTTTATGTGGCACTAACTCACCACAAATCAACATAATGCAGATAAAATACAGAAATAACCAAGCCCGAATGCTTTGCTATCATTTAAACCCACTGGGAAACGCACGCTTCATTTACACAATTGAATAAAAGGGTTATATTGAAGCGGATACTTGAACTCTTATCTCATAGTAGGGAATCATCTCTCAAAAATCCTTCTACCTGAGCAATGCTGAATTACTTATAGCAGATTTATATTTATATTACTTATAGCACACTAACTGGCATTCTTACTTGGGCATGGAAATGTCCGTAACTCCGTTGTTTAGACAGTGAGTTTTCATGGCTTCTAAACTCTTCCGCATATCCTCGTAAGTGGGTTTATGAGAAACTTTCTTCTTTGTAATCTAAGTATAAATATAAAAGGTCAGTAGTGCCTTTGGTGCAATCATTGCAACCTTTTTTTTTTTCAAAGCATGCTACACCACACTCAAGAGTCTCTACTTTCAGATTTGCTACTATAAAAGAAAAAAGAACTACACTTCATAGCTTGAAGCAGTATAAATTAGCAGCTGATTCTCTGAACTTCAAAGTATGAACATGCACACACAAGGAAGCTTGGCTTCTCCTCAAGGAGGAAGACTTGAGTAATGCATCTCACTTTTTTTAGAAGAACATACTCAAAAAATCCCTCACAACTCTTAAAGCCCTAGTAACAACATCTAATACAGCTTAGTTACAGGGAAGCGCTGGAGTCCTGTCCTCCTCTTACCAGGTAGTAAATATACCGGTCATCTCTTTGGAGAACTGCCACCTCTCCAGTTTTCTTTTCTAAAGAGAAAAGGAAAATGTTATTTTTAAAACAGTTAAAGTCCACTACATAATGACCCCAGCAACCCCCTTACCTTGGAACACCCTTACTGCTGGGAACCATTTAACCCTTAAGCCCCCACATGCCTACCCCACACGTATCACTCACGTTGATCCAACAGCTCCTGGACACCTCCAAACTTTTTCTTAAAAAGAACAGCAATGCCTGCGCCCATGCGACAGTCCTCACTGATGCAATGGGCCAAGGCGTCCGTCTGGGGGCATGAGAAAAGGTCTCCCTTAACACACTTGATCTGAAGAACAACACAAACACAAGGGGGAAAGCTTAGAGGACAGACTGTGATAACAACACACCTGCAGCTAGGCAAGCCCACATGATAACACCTGCGAGGCACTGAGCTTTAGATGCCACTTACAAGTAAACTGATTTATTATGAGCTGTGAACATGACAAGAAGATAACTTATCTTTTCTACAGGATCAGCTATGATAATCAAGTGCCAGCTCAGCAGTTCATTTTACACAACTGATAAAGGAAAATTATGTAATACAGAGTACAAGTGCCTTAGTGCACATCCTCAACACGCTGCCAGTATGGCAGTGCTCCGTACACCTAGATATTCAAAGGCTTAAGCTCTGTGCTGATGTGAAATATGTACTTCACCGATTGAAGTACAAAAGCAAAAGAAAATTAGTAATAACTTGAAAAGCAGTCACTCTCCTCCCCAAAGCTACGTGGTACAACCACCTCTCATGTTAGTAGGGAACGTCTCTTCACAGAGACGCATCACAGCGATAGCCCACACAACCCATTTTCTACGCACTCTCTCCCCTTGCTCCTTGAAGACCTGGGTGGCCATGGTAACGTGGGCTATGGTGAAGACTCCCGTGGCTAGAAAGATGACAGAGAGAAAAAGTTGTTAGAACCCCAAACTAGGCAATAAACTCGTGTGACAGAAGGCGCAGGGCTGAGACTGCCTTTAGAGGCCACTGTAAGCAGACAAAACACCCCCTTGGCAAAGGAGGAGGAGAAAAAAGAGGAGAAAAGCAGCAGCTGCGGGGTGGGGGAGGGGGGAATGAAGCACCCGCAGCACCCCACAGCTCAGCCCGTGAGGCGCCAGCAGGCCCCAGCCCGAGGCTAACGCAGAAGCAGCACCCACGGGCCTCGGCTCCTGCTCCGGGCCGGAAGGAGACGCGGCAGGGGGAAACCCCGGCGGGCAGGGCGCGAGGAAAGAACCGGAGGAGCGGGGCTGGCGCCGCCCCGAGCCTGCCCAGCGCTGCCCACATCGCCCGGCCCGGCCCCGCTTCACCGCTAGGCCGCGCTCGGCCTCCCGCACAAAATGGCCGCCCCCCCTCAGCCGCCTCTCTAGGCAGCCCGGAGGACCTCCCTCTCTATGGTACCCGCCCAGAACATTCCGCCGGCCGCCCCACGGCGCACGCGCGAGGCGCCGAGAGGCGGGGCCGAGACGGAGGCGGGAGGGAGGGGGAGGAGCCGGGACGGCGCGTGCGCACTGCGGGCCGTCACCGCCCCGCCGGCCGCCCTCCCTCCCTACGGCGCATGCGCGGGGGTGGCGGGAGGGCGGGGCCATCCGCCGAGGGGGGCCACGTGCGGGGGGCGGGGCCGGCGGGAG